TTTCAGCTTCTGCTATGTTACTGTAGCATTTTCCCCGAACTAATCGCATATCCGCAAATTCGTGAAAGGAAATTCAAAGTAAGTCACAGTTTGACAAATTTTTGTTATGATTGACAAAGACTATCCACCTGTAACTATCTGTTAATGACAAAAAACATCATTGCCGCTGTGCCTTTTCATCGAAAAATTGTAGAAGAGCACTCTTTTTATATCAAGCATTTTCGTAATTTGAAGCAAAGATCGTAATTTTTCTTTTTAAATGCTTAAGTATTCCAATATGCTACCAATTAAACATGGAATCATTTCAAAATAATGCTTAATCACAAAGTTGAAATTCGATCTTCAACTGTTAATATCTTCTAGAAATTTTGGAAAAAAAAATTTTTAAGTAAGTTTCTCGTACTCCCCAAGGGAGCCTCTATCACCCCTTAAAAGGAATGACGTCAATTTTGAATCACCCTGTATAGACGAAACTTCAATCTGAACAGTCGGAAAATTTCATTTGAATTGCACTAAATTCTGATTTTTACGCGCTTTGTAGATTTTAATGTAAAAAATGGTGTATTCCCCATTGCAGGTTCTTCTTTCAACATTTCTAATTTCTAATCCAGAGCAAGCAGCAATTTGAAATTTTTGCTGTCCATAAGAGATTCATAAAGCTCAACATGTTGATAATTTCCTTCAAATCGGACTAACGGAACTAAAATATCCGAAGAAAAATCCACAGCAACAAGCCCAATTTATAAGCAGAACTTAATTTGCTTCTAATGCAAATTAACACATGATTCTAAACCTTTAATGGTGAATCAACTCTAAAGATGAGCGCATCCAATGCTGGCGAAACATCAGAAAACCGATTGAAAGCAAAAAATTACCTCAAATGATCGTAGAAGGTTGGAAAATTCATCCACAAGTGGATTGGTAGCTCGAGGACAGTCGAACATGTGCTCAGTATCGCACATGCAATCCTGCAGCAATTGGTAGTCTCGGCTGAAGGACGATGTATTTTCAAAGTCGGACAAACAGCCCTGATCTTCTGCAGAGAAACCTCCAGATTTACCCCCTGAAGGGTAGTTTTTTAAAACTATATTACCATTGTATCCAACTGGGCAAGGATTGGGGGGATTGCAGTAAGCAGGCAATGAGGCATCGGTTTTGATCTCCTGCTTGGTAGTTTTTATGCCTGGAGTGAGGATTTGGTTGCCGTCTCCTGCTCCACCCGATATGTATTGGTTTCCCCACAGGCTGGTTTGCTGCAAATACTCCTGATCCCTTATGCTTGGATACATGTTGACGTCCCTGAAAAAGTTAATGAGCTTGATTAATTGCCTGACTCGATAAGGATTTACGGCTCTTCATCCATCATTGCGCCCCAAAAAACTTTCCGCCTAGTAATTGCGCCTCTTAAGCGCCCGAGTTGTTCGCATATTTTAAAACTTGCCCCAAGTTTTCATAATCCAATGGAAACAGTTGCCCATCTTCATTTCTCGATAGCGCCCGTGTATCCAAACGCAAACCATCGTTCAATTCTAGGTATTTAGAAATGTCACGCAGGACAATGCCTGGCAACAAACCTTCCTGCAAAGCAGGATGGGTAAAAAGTGTTTGATCTTTCCATTATACTTTGTTTGCGTACCTGTTCACTTGGTAAATAGGCGAGGATGCTTGTGAAGGACAACACCAGCACAAAAATGATCGATTTCATCGTTTTCAGCTCTGAAATGTTCAGGTTTTGTCTGTTATGATTGCGGGTTTGCGGTCGGATGAAACCTCCAGTTATCTTCTATCTCTTCCCTTCTCAATTGAGTGGTCGTCTTTGGGCAACTAAATGTATTTTGAGATTGACCAACGTTTTAACTCTTTTCTACCTAGAAAGGGTCGAAACGTTGGCCGACAGACTATATTAGATTCTGAACGCGCTACCGTACAAACTATGTACAATTTTTTATATAAAATAGATAGTAAGTATTTTTTTATTTCTGAAATTAAGTCGCTTTTGTTGTTTGTTCATGGCAAAGCTTTCCTATTAGAGCGTTCGGTCTATTGACGGATGTTATCAGAAAATCGATGTAGGATTATTCTAGCAATAGATTTTTGCATAATTCCTAATTAGTTTGGTTTGAAAGTGTCTTCCATGGTACAAAACAATATACATTTTTGGTGTTTGCCAGCAACTAGCAGATGGTAAGCGAATTGTGGTAATTTGAGCAGGACTTACCCTTAAAGAGCAGCGTACACGCGGCAGGAAACTAATTTTGTGTCCCGCAATCGATAGAAACTCGCGCATGTGTCCAGATTCATTCTGGCATGCAATGAAGGGCTAGAAAAGTGTTTTTCTAGAAAATAAATTTTCAATCTAACTAAGTTTACGTGCTCTAATTATTCCCTGCATTCAGCTAAACCAAACTGGGCAAGATTCAGGCTATGAAGGCTTTCACGGCCGGTCAAATCACATATAGACATGTTTTTCGGGCTTTGAAGCCGTGGTCCATGGGAATTTCTTCCTGACGTTTCGGCCACAACTGCGGTGGACATTATCAAAGGCTCTTTGATAATGCTCTAGATTGCAAGTTACGAATTTTTAAAGTAGGGCCGTTAATTGACGAGATACTCTAGAGAGTTTTTCCACTAACATTTGCGAAGTGAGCAAAAAAACAGAATTGACTGGGATTTGAATGAAACTCAAAGGCTATACCGAGTCAAGTTTCTGCTTTGTACAGTAAAAATTTCAGTGGGTTGCTTGCTCTAGATTATAAGTTATAATTTTTTAAAGGAGCGCCTGCTGTTGAGTGGATACAGTCGTTTTTCCCCAGTATTTACGAACTGCGCCAAAATCAGAATTAAGTGTGACACGCATGAAATTGAAACATTCTCAAGCTTCAAGTTTCTTCTATGCACTGTGAACATTTCATGTTGTTGCTTGCTCTTGATTGGCAATTGAAATTTTTTCAAATAGAACCTGCAATTGGTGAGAATCACTCGTTTTTACGCCAATATTTGTAAAGTGTAGAAAAATCCAAATTAAGTGCAATTTAATTGAAACTCTGCTAAGCTGGAGATTCGAGCTTCTGTTTTGCACTGTGAAAATTTCAGCTGTAGACTTGATCTAGATTATAAGTTAGAATTTTTTAAAGTAGCGTCTGCGGTTAAGTGTACTCGGTCGTTTTAACCCCCAGCATGTGCAAAGTGCGCCAAAATCATAAATCAGTGCGATTCGAATGAAACTGAAATATGTTCAAGCTTCTTCTATCTACTGTGAAATTTTTAAGTTGGTGCATGCTTTGGATTAAAAACTAGGACTTTTTAAAATCAAATCGTCAATTAGAAAGACCAATTCCCTTTTACAACAGCATCTACAAAGTACAAAAAAAAATCAAATTTAAGTGCGGTTTGAATAAAAATTGTTCACGGTGAAGTCTCTAGTTTCTTCTATGCACTGAGAATTTTTTATGATAGAACTTACCCCAACTTAGAAGTGACGAATTTTTCAAATAGAGCTTGTAATTGGGAGAAGCACTTATTTTCAGGCCAACATTTGCAAAGTGTGGAACAAACAGTATTGAGTACAATTTGCATGAATCTCTGCGATTTTGCAGCCTCAAGTTCCTACTATGCACGTGGAAATTTTCAGTTAATGCTTTCATCTGGATCAGAAGTTAGAGCTTTTTAAAGTAGCGCCTGCAGTTCGGGTGAACATTATCAAAGGCTCTTTGATAATGTACACCGCAGTTGTGGACGAAACRTCWMKAAGAAATTCCCATGGRCMACGGMTTTACAGCCCGAAAAACATTWYTAWATSGTGCAAKATTCSYKTRTTAAATGACTTGGCATTCAACAAGTTAATACCGAACATTTTTACAAGAAACGTCTATTTTTTTGGCTCTAAGGCATTTAAGGTCGAGGATTTATTTCAAAGTTATTGCAGATACGCGCTTTCTCCTCATTCTCCTATAAATTCTCCACCCACCTTTCCATGGAAAGTGTAGGTGCATTAATGTCGTAGCTTCACTGAAATGTTGGGAAAAACACCCATTCAAATGGATGTTTATTGAGGGGGGAATTTGGTAAGTCGATTATCGCGCTGGCAGTGAAATATTGGACCCTATAGATCAAAAAGACCAGCACTGGAGAATGGTTTTATGGAAATTAATTTGTTCGTCTTTGTTACTGTTTTTCAGTCTTAATCCTTTTCAGTAGGTTGGAGAGTGTCCATTAATTTTCAGCTTAAGAGTAAGCTACTTCAAACTTTGTACTCAACTTGAAGTATTTCTTGCTATTAATGCTGAGCAAGCAACAACTTGAAATCTTCACAGTACATAGAAGAATCCTGAAGCTTCAAGATTTTTAAGTTTTGATCGAATTCGGCTTAAATCTGATTTAAGCGCACTTTGTACATGCCGGGGTAAAAACGACTGTGTGCACCCCACCGCCTGCTGTACTTTAAAACATTGTAACTTCCAACCCAGAGCAACCCGCAAGCTAAAATTTTCAAGTTGCAAAGAAAATACTTGAATCTGCATTATATCAGAGTTTCAGTGAAATCGCGCTTAAGATTGATTGTTGTGCTTAAAAATGATGTTTATTCCCAATTGCAAACTCTACTTCCTAACTCCTAACAAAATTCCTAACATGCAAACTACAGCAAGGCTCAACTTAAATGTCCACGGTCCATATAGAATATAATCCAGTCAGAAAATATTGAGGCTTTTGTTAAAATCGCAATTAATCCAGATTTTTTCCTAGTTTGTGAGAGCAACTGCAAAAATGAATGTGTCCACCCGACTGCAGGCGCTACTTTAAAAAGCTCTGACTTCTGATCCAGATGAAAGCATTAACTCAAAATTTCCACGTGCATAGTAGGAACTTGAGGCTGCAAGATCGCAGAGATTCATGCAAATTTTACTCAATACTGTTTTTTCCGCACTTTGCAAATGTTGGCCTGAAAATAAGTGCTTCTCCCAATTACAAACTCTATTTGAAAAATTCGTAACTTCTAAGTTGGGGTAAGTTCTATCATCAAAAATTCTCAGTGCGTAGAAGAAACCTGAGACTTCAACGTGAGCAATTTTTATTCAAACCGCACTTAAATTTGATTTTTTTTTGTATTTTGTAGATGCTGGTGTAAAAGGGAATTGGTCTTTCCAATTGACGATTTGATTTTAAAAAGTCCTAATTTTTGATGCAGGGCAAGCACCAACTTAAAAATTTCACAGTAGATAGAAGAAACTTGAAGCTTGAACATATTTAAGTTTCATTCGCATCGCACTGATTTATGATTTGAGTCCACTTAACCGCAGGCGCTACTTTAAAAAATTCTAACTTATAATCTAGATCAAGTCATCAGCTGGAATTTTCACAGTGCAAAACAGAAGCTCGAATCTCCAGCGTAGCAGAGTTTCAATCAAATTGCACTTAATTTGTATTTTTGTACACTTTGCAAATATTGGCGTAAAAACGAGTGATTCTCACCAATTGCAGGCTCTATTTGAAAAAATTTCAATTGCCAATCAAGAGCAAGCAACAACATGAAATGTTCACAGTGCATAGAAGAAACTTGAAGCTTGAGAATGTTTCAATTTCATGCGTGTCGCACTTAATTCTGATTTTGGCGCAGTTTGTAAATACTGGGAAAAAAGGACCGTATCCACTCAACAGCAGGCACTGCTTTAAAAAATTATAACTTATAATCTAGAGCAAGCAACCCACTGAAATTTTTACTCTGCAAAGCAGAAACTTGACTCGGTATAGCCTTTGAGTTTCATTCAAATCCCACTGAATTCTGATTTTTGCTCACTTTGCAAATGTTACTGGACAAACTCTCTAGAGTATCTCATCAATTAACGGCCCTACTTTAAAAATTCGTAACTTGCAATCTAGAGCAGGTCCATACTTCAAAATTTGACCGACCATAGAAAAAACTTTAAGCTGAAATGGTAGAGAATTTCATTCAAATTGCACCTAAACCTGATTTTTACCCACTTTGTAAATACTAGGGATAGTAGAGATTTTATCGAATCATTTACATGGACGCTTTGGTTCATCTGTTAATTTTGTCGTTTTTTTAGTAACACCGTTTGTTAAAAGCTCCAGAAAAGGAGCATTCCATCCAAGTTAAATATTTGCACTTTTTTAAGACATTTATTATTATTCATTTAAAATAAATAGAGAATGACTTGGAAAAAATTGAAAATCTATTTGGCAAAAAACCCATATTCTTGTTGGACATTTTGTTGTTTATTTCGGCTTTGAGCCGGTGCCATTTAGGTCATGAGCCTTGCTTTAGAGTATCGCAGGAATAGAGCGTCGCGACGCTTCTTGCAACCACTAGTTAAGCAGAAACGACGCTTGCAGACTCCCACACAAATCAGTCGACGTCCTGCCTCTGCCCAATTCCCGTAGCGCCCATTTGTTCAACCGATTCACGTAAAAGTTGCCGAGTGAGTTAAATCAGAAGTTACCGTTTTCTATGAACTGATTCCAGGCTTCCAGACAGTTGGGCCGATGTAAGTTGCAAAAAATTACGGGTAATTTTTCTTTTGATTGAGAATTTTTTCTTAGAGCTACTGGAAGTTTTTAAGGAAAATGCCCAAGAAATCTGCAAGAAGTTTGTAATGCGGTTGCTGACTTGGAACTACCTGATTATGTTCGATATTGCTTTCGTGTTTTTTCTGTTCCTGGTCGGAGTCACCTGTCTGGTCTACTATTTGCCAGGTAGGAGAGTGGAAAATGATTCCTCGTACTTGGACAGTGGCCCCTTGCAGTGCTACGTCACTGTCCCATCGGCTGATATACAAAATGCCCCAGTTAATCAAGTCTGATGGTAAGTACATGGATTACAGTGGCAAACTAATCGCTCATCAAAATTCCTTGGATTCCCATTATTTCTTGATTGATACTATTCCATTCGGGAAATTGGAACTTCAAGAAGGAATTGCATCAACTCGCAATGTGAGATTGGTTTGATAATTAAACTTCGAGCTCTCTAACTAAATTATAGCAGCGTTGCTCACTGGCCCCATTCATCCGGACTGGGCTAGATTTATTTATTAATGGACCGAAAAAAATCTTCATTTTTTCAATCTATCTGAAACTTTTTCTCAAGTGGTTTCTATTTTTATTTTAATTCTTTGCTTTTGGGCTTAGTTTTTAAACTTCCTTTTCTATAGGGAATTGTTGGCAAGGCAAGAAATACTATTAAACTTTTCCCATATGCCGGAAGTTATTCTGTAATATCAGCATTTCCTCGTATATTAGGGGTGCGGATTTACATCGCAGATTTTTTGTGACCCCAATTCAGTTACATCTACTTATGATATCTGCGTGTAAGCGACAGGCGGAAACCACGTTTGGAAAACGGCATCGTTTACTTGAGATGCACTTTCAGCTGGAGAAAGTTTTGCGGTGTAAATATTGTTTTTCCTAGATAAAGTAAGTGGTTTTTTATGGTATTTTTCGAGAATTTTTGCTGGAAGACCAACATCGGTTTTTTCCGTTATTTTAGCATTTTCTGCTAACGTTCAGCCAAGGACTACAGCAGAGGAACTTGAAGCTGAAACTCAGAGAGTTTCATTCGTATTCCTAAGTCAGATTTTCGGGCAGCAATGAAGAGAGCCGCTGGTGTAAAAATACAATATAACTTCTAATCCAGTCCCAAATGCCTATTGAAATTTTTACATTGCAAATGAGCGACTTCTACCTGTACAATCTAAGAGTTTTATTGAAATCACACTTAATTCTGATGTTTGCGCACTTTGTAAATTCGGAGGTAAAAACGACTGCGTTCGCCCAACTGCAGGCGCTAATTTGAAAATATTATACCTTCTCATCTGGAGCAAGTCGCCGACTGGAATGTTCACAGTGCAAAACTGAGACTTTAGTCTGCATAATTGCAGATTTTTATTCAAATCTCCCGGAATCCTGAGGTTTGCGCACTTTGCAAATGCTGGCGTAAAAAGGAGTGTTTTTTTCCAAACTGCGAGCTCTTTAAAAAATTCCTAACTTCCAATCTAGACCAAGCCTCATCTTGAAATATTTACAATCCATAGAAGAAACTCGAATGTAAAAACGGTCGCAGTTTCGTTCGAATCGCACTTAATTGTGGTTTGTGCGCCCATTGTGAATATTTTAATCTCATTCGAATCGCACTTAATTGTCAGTTTGGCGCACTTTGTAAATATCGAGGAAAAACTACTGTGCGCTCTCAACTGGAGGTGCTACTTAAAAAAAAATTACTTCCCATTTAGAGCAAGCCGCCAAGCGAAATTTTTACGATGCAAAGCAGATACTTAAGTCTGCATTTTTTATAGATGCGGAGTTTCATTTAAATCCTACTTAGTGCTGAGATTTGCTCACTTTGAACGTGAAAAATCAGCGTTTCCTCCCAATTGCAGGCTCTAATTTAAAAACCTGTAACGTCGAATCTGGAGCAAGCCCCCACTTAAAATTTGCACAGTCCATAGGAAATTCCTCAATCTGAAAACTCGGCGAGTTTCATTAAAATCGCGCTTTAGTCAGATTTTTGCGCGATTTATGAGTGCAACTGCTGGTGTGAAAACAACTGTTTCCATCTAACTGGCGCCTCTACTTTAAAAAAATGGTTACTTCTAATCCAAGCGCAGCTCTGCACTTAAATTTTCACTCCTCAACGGAGAAACTTTAGCCTGCATAATCCGAGAGTTTCATTGAAATCACGCTTAATAGTATTTTTGTGCACTTTGCGAATGTTGGCGAAAAAATTAATGTTCTTCCTCAAATGCGGGCCCTACTTGCAAAATTCCTAACTTCCAGTCTAGAGCAAGGTCCAACTTGAAATTTTCACAGTCCATTGAATGAACGCTGGTCTGAAAACTCTGAATTTGAATTTCATTCAAATCGCAGTAAAGCGGATTTTTTCCGACAGCATTTCATTTAAGGGGAGGGCGTTGAAAGTTCAAAATGTTTTCCCACACTTTCCACTCGAACAGATCGGAAAGTTTCCCAAATTCCAAAACAATACAAAGCCTTGGTAAGGCAAATGTCGAGTTATTTATGTACACTACAACTCCTACCGACCGATTTTCTGTTTTAAGTTGCCCTCATCTGAAGTGATTAATGGGGAACAAGGGGAGCCGAACCAGCCACCTAATATATCTCCAACGGTCTCAGAACCGACACCTATATTGACAAGCATTTCCTGAACGCGTTCCACCCCCCATCAGGGTGAAATATTCAAAAATAAGACGAGAATGTGGTTAAAAAAACAGCAGGACTTCATGGAATTGTCGACTGTTGCTGGCAAGTGAATAGGCTCTCCATTTGTTCCATGGTCCATTATTAAAATGGAAATTGCTTTTCGTCTTGGCAACAGCCGCAATGTGAGCGCCTTAAATTTTAATGCATTATTAGCAAAAGTGTTTTGGAAGTGAATTTACCATTTAACACGTAAGCGATGGAATTAGGGGATTTTTAATTCAATAAAATTTTCTCAATTAAAAATAATCTCTTAAATTGACAATTGTTTTAAAATCCAATTCTCATTCCATCCAGTTGTCGATTTACTCTCACGTTCTGGCCATTAAAAGAGCGATTTTTAATTTCCTACTTTTGTGGAGTCGCGCTTTCTAACCGTCGTAAAAGTCGAGATAGTTTATATTTTTCTTAGTTGTTTACAAGTTTCGCAAAAATCAGGATTTGGTGCGATTTGCATGAGCTTTTGCAGGTTTTTAAGTTGAAGTTTCTTCTATAGACGGTGCAAATTTTAGGTTGCAGCTTACTCTCGATGAGGAGTTAGGAATTTTTAAAATTCAGCTTGCAGTAGACTGAAGCCTTTTATTTTGCAGCAAAATCTACAATTAGCGCAAAAATCGAAATTCTCCTGTTGCTCAGATTCAAGTTTCTCCTATACAATGCGAAACTTTTGTGGTGCAATTTGATTTTTGTGGGAAGTTATGAATTTTTAAAGTTGATCTTGCAGTTGGGAAAAAATTTTCATTTTTACATTAAATCTACAAACCTCGGAAAAATCAGAATTACGTTTGATCCAAATGAAATTCTTCCGGTGCTCAAACCGAARTTTCTTCTATAGAGTGCGAAAGTTTCCTGTTGCAGTTTGCTCTGTGTTAGGAGTAATACATTTTTAAAGTTGAGCTTGCAGTTGGKAAAACCTTTATTTTTACATCAACATCTACAGAACGCGCAAAAATCAGAATTATGTACGATTCGAATCAAATTCTCCTAGTACTCAGACTGAAATTTCTTCTATGCAGACTGAARCTTTTGGGGTGCGATTTSATCTATCTTAGAAGTTATGAATTTTTAAGGTTGAGCTTGCAATTGGGTAAAAGTTCCATTATAACATCAACACATCATAACAAATTAGGTACAAGTCAAGATTCACTGCGATTCGAACAAAACTAGTACATTTTCTAGATTCAAGTGTGTGTTATAAACTGCGAGACTTTCAAGTTGCCACTTGCTCTACATTAAAACCTAGGAATTTTTAAACTTTAGCGGGCAGTTGTCTAAAAGCGTTTGCTCTTGAACCGGCATTTCCGCAGGCAAGCTTACAAAAACGGGAATTCGGTGCAATTTAAATGAAACTTTCAGCTCCCTTTATGTAAAGCTTTTATTGAAAATTTTAAGCAACAGAACAGTTACAGTGCAATTTGACTTCAAGAGTGAGTGACCATTAATTAGCAGCGCAATATATTCAAGATGCGGAAGTGGCAAAGGAAACAAGTACAGTATTTAAATGAATATATATATAAATCGGTCACGAAACTCACAGCAATAAAATTGAAAAAAAATATATATTGTGCTGTGTTAAAATGAATCAATTTCCACAAAGACCGAACAGATAGCGAGTAATTTATGCGGACATTCACTAGTTTCCAATATTTTCATTTAAATGCAAATTACGTAGTCTAAACTCTATTATGCAGGAAAATTATTTTTATGGCGCACGGAGTCACTCTATATAGGTGCATATGATTGAAAACTCTATACGAAAGATGCACAATTGGACTGCATTGCAGCAAGATGTCAATTAGAACGAAGCATGATGGAAAGTTGTGTATTTTTCACTTTTTCTATTGAATTTAGTCGTCGCTTTTTTGGCGCACTGATTTTTTTCCGGAGCTGTCGCAATATAAAACGATTGCGGCCTAATTGGTCTGATTTATATCCGCTCTATTTTCGTGGTGTTCACTTAAATAGGGCCCCGCAGGGAAAAATGTCTCTAATAATTTCGTGCCGGAAGGCAAATAATGTCAAGGCGCGAGACGTTTTGTGCCAATTACCGTCTTGGCTGTGCGGTTTTTTTCAAATTCCCCAAATACTTCGAGCACATAAAAACTCACTTTGCAATGAAACGACAGGAAAATTCCGTTCGCGATAATGAAACTCCCTGTTTAGGTGGCGAATTTCAATGCCTTTTTGCCTCCACTTTACAAATTAAACACCGACAACGCGCAAACTATTCAAAGCACGCCCACGAATGCCATCGGGCCAATTTCATCTATTTTTGGTCAATAATTCTGGAATTTATCGATGCTGTACATAGAATAATATCGGGCAAGCGTATGCTGTTTTACATAATAACAATATTTGCTTCAATATCTTGAACATTTGGTACGACCCAGATTTTAATTATCAAAGTCTAATTTCCTCTTTGTATTTCTACGATTTTGATAAAAATCTCAGGTATTTAGAATGGAGTTTTTTCTATAGGGTGTGAGAGTTTCGCAGTAAGGCTTGGTCCTTGTTAGAAGTTATGCATTTTTGAAGTTGTGCTTGCAGTTGTGTAAAAAATTTGATTTTTACATCATCTACAAAAGCGTGCAAAAATCAGAATTTAGGGCAATAAAAATGAAATCCTCAAAAAACTCAAATCGAAGTCTCCTCTAAACAGTGAAAGACTTTCCCGTTTGAGTTTCATTTCTGTTGGAAGTAACGAATTTTTGACGATGAACTTGCAGTTGGGTAAAACCTTCATTTTTTGCAGCAACATCTACAAATCTCGCAAAAATCAGAATTTAGTGTGATTCGAATGAAATTATCCGGTTACTTAGTGTGTACACTGAAGTGTCTTCTATAGAATGCGAAAGTTTTGCGTGGGAATTTGCTTTTTGTCAGAAGTTATTAATTTTTAAAGCTGAGCTTGCAGTTGGGTGAAAACTTTGCTTTTTACATCAACATCTACAAAGCCAGCAAAACTAAGAATTTAGTGCTATCCAAATCAAATTCTCCTCTTATTTAGAATAAAGTTTCCTCTATAAAGTGTGAAAGTTACGAGTTGTTATTTGCTCTTTGTTAGAAGTTACGAATTTTCTAAATTGAATGTTTGCAATACACTAATAAAAGCAATGAAAAATAACCACTAAACAAAGAGACGTTTACTTCACCAACAATTTACAAATTAAGAATAAACTACTTAATAAGTATTTGTTTTCAGGCTTGGGCATATAATGGAAACGCGCTGCTGCATGATGAGCATTAAAGAAGAAACTATCTAACATGGCATGAAAAACTACGTTTGCTTTCTAGTTCTAATGGAAATATTCATATCAAAAACCATTTCAAATGCTGTTGCAAACGAACGTCTGTTCGATTATAAAGCAGCAAATGATCAAAAATAAGTGTGTTCCCAAATACCCAATGTGCTTCCAAAGTTATATGAAATATCCAAGTAAGGTCAATAATAAAATGTTTCGGAAAATATTTTTAAATAACCATTTTTTACTTTTGAGCAATTTTAATGTTGCTTGTTTCTAATGCGCTCTCTAAAGTTGACGTATCTATAATTTTTTTATTTGTTGTCGCAATCAGTAAGCACTTTTCTTGTTTATTGCATTTTAGTATTTTTCACTTTAATGAGGGTTAAAAACCATTTATTCTGATTTTTTGTGTTCATCAATATTTGGAAGGTAAACTTCTCTAATTTGCTGGAAAGAAAACATATGTAATAATACAATAACTAGCTGGTAATGTACTTAATATAATAGAAGATAGATTTTAGTATATTATAATATAACTTTTATATATACATGTATACCTATGCTAGACGGCTATAAAATTGTTTGGCATTGTAGCAGAACGAATGGAATAAAGTGATTATAGTTATGCGTCGTTTTATTGATTATTTGATTGAATAATCGATCAGTGCAACAAGCCGTGTGTTGGAAAGAGACGAAACATAATTGGAGGCGTGGCCCAAGTAGAGCCACGTCCCCCCCCCCGGTCCCCCTATCTGGCGTGTTTCGTCTTTTTCTAGCACAGACATTTGCATATTTGCCTTATTGCTCTCAATAGTTTGCAGATTTCTAAAGAAAACCCAGTGTTTCCTCATAAAATCTGGAACACATTGATTTTTCTAGACGATTTGAGGCACAAGCTAATTAAACTAACTGACTCGTCAGTTTTTTCTCAGTCGCTTTAATCACTAAACCATCGCTCCATAATGCGAAAAGTTTTGAATGCAATGGCCTCTCGAGTCACGGCTATAAATTTCGCTTTTAAGTTAAAAGTCAACAAAGCCAATGAGAAGAGAGCGGCTAAAGAAAATTGGGTTTCCTTGCCCTAGAAACTTACGAAACTGTGGATTATTTTCAACTTTTCCACGTTTATCTACTTAGTTTTCATGCTTGCCAGTTTGCAACAAGGGAATGCTTCTTAGAGCTGCGGAATGTGTCGATTGCGAAGTAAAAACTTTGGCCTCCATGCGCGTTTGCTAAGGAAATTTGCATATTCTTGCTAAAAATTGGGTAAGTTTCCTTTGTGCTTATTTTAATGTGTTAAATCGCACAAACAAGCATTTTTTGGCTCAATCGTCACAGACATCACAAGAACCTTTTGAATCTGTATTTGATGCGAATTAAGAAATGGGTTCGTTAATTTGTATTATTCAAGTAAAAAATGCAGTTCTTGGGAAAAATGACCTCAAGTTTAATTATAATGATTAACACCGACGTGCAATAAATAATTGGCTAAGGTCAGCTGCTGTAAGGCTGCAATTAGGCATTTTTCAAATGAAACTAGAACATATGTTGTATTCGTATCTAGGGGAATGTTTCTGAATTATTGACCATCAAATCATAGCAGTAACTCCTGCATAATACATCAGAATGTCAAGTAACATATATAAATCATTTCACCCAATTGATTCGAGTCCAAAAGTCCAGCAGGAATCATGAGGGTTGGTAGGCATCCTTTGCCAAACGTTCAGAAGTCCATCCTTTGTTAATATTTCAGCTCCTTCAAGAATGCGAACACTTGAAATTCCCGATGATTTGTTCAGTGGCATTCGGATGTTTTCCCTGGGAGTTTTATTTTCCAGACAACAAGTCCAGAAGAAGAGCCTATGAAATCTATGGCAGGATAATGTTTGCCTATTACATTGTGTTCATCTTCACAATATTCGTTCAACTGGTCGTCATGCTTAAGCGGCCGGACTTTGACATAGATGCTGTTTGCGCCAATATGTGTGTTACTCTAATTAACACTGTCACACTTTTCAGGCAATTGGTGTTTCATTTCAATCCGAAATTCAAGAAAATAATCCAGAAAGTCATCGATATGGAGTCGCAGGTTTATCGCAAAGGCGATGAAAAGGTTACTGGTGGTTTGTTCTGGTAAGGTCCAGTTGAATGATTTGTTCCTTCCAGATTTGCTCTATCTACACCAAGTACGTGAAGGGAATCAATAAGAGCCTCAAACTCTATTTCTGCTTCATTGGTTCCTTGCTGGTGATTTTTTGCGTTCGACCTCTGTTGGCCGATCCAGTAGAGCAGCGGGTGGGCGATGAAGTGAAACTCGTCAGGCCTTTGCCTCAATCTTCATGGTTTCCGATTGATACCGAGGAACAGTATTTGGTGAGTTTGTGTGTGTGAATCTTTGGTTGATTTTCCCTATTTATTCGGTTTCATCAAAGTCATTTTTCAAGATTTTGCACTGTAAACCAGCAGTTTAAAGCTGGTTGAGGGCGCTTTTTGAAATAATTCCAAAATCTCAATAAAGGGCAAAGAGTTGAGAGCCAAAAGGTCGCTAAGGAATATTTAACAATCACTTTATTCAGCGTGTAATTGGAGTTTTTACTCAGCTTTATCGAAGTAATTTTTGGGAAATTTTTGCATTGCAAACCCGCAAATTAAAACCAGTTAAAGAGGGTTTGGAATATTTATTGAAATTTTAAAATCTCAAAAGAATCAGAAGAATACAGAGCCAAATTGGCGTGGAAAAATAATTACCAGCCACTATTTTGCTTGTAAGGAATTGGAATCTTTCCTCCGTTTTTTTCAAAGACGTTTTTTGGGAACTTTCGAATTATGGTCTCACAAATTAAAGCAGGTTAAAAGAACTTTGCAGTATTTTTTTAATTTCCGGTCTCCATAACGCGAGAAGAGTTCAGAGCCAAAACGCCGCTAAAAGAAACTTTATTTAGCTTGCATTTTCATTGCTTACTCGGCTTTAACAAACTCGTCTTTCAATTTTTACATTGCAAGTAACTCGTTTTTCGGAAATTTTTACATTGCAAGTAACATTTTACAATACAAGTACAATTTACCCGCAAGTTAAAGCTAGTTAATGGCGCTTTGGAACATTTTTTGAAATTTCGAAATCTCGAATGAATCAGAAGAGTTCAGAGCCAAATCGCAGTGAAAAAATAATTATCAGGCACTATTTTGCTTGTAAGTAATTGGAACGTTTCTTCCGTTTTTCTAAAAGGCGTTTTTCGGAACTTTTCGCATTATAGCTTCACAAATTAAAGCAGGTTAAAGGTACTTTGCAGTATTTTTTTAATTTCCAGTCTTCATAACGCGAGAAGAGTTCAGAGCCAAAACGCAGCTAAAAGACCGTTTGTTTAGCTTGTATTTGCAATGTTTACTCGGCTTTAACAAACTCGTTTTTCGGAAATTTTTACATTGCAAACCCGCAAGTTAAAGCTATTTAAAGGCGTTTTGGAACAGTTTTTGAAATTTCGAAATCTCGAATGAATCAGAAAAGTTCAGAGCCAAATCGCAGTGAGAAAATAATTATCAGGCACTATTTTGCTTGTAAGTTTTCTTAACGTTTCCTCCGTTTTTCTAAAAGGCGTTGTTGAGAACTTTTCGCATTATAGCTTCACAAATTAAAGCAGGTTAAAGGCACTTTGCAGTATTTTTTTAATTTCCAGTCTTCATAACGCGAGAAGAGTTCAGAGCCAAAACGCCGCTAAAAGATGTTTTATTTAGCTTGTATTTGCATTGTTTACTCGGCTTTAACAAAATCGTTTTTGGGAACTTTTAGCATTTAAAACCGGCAAGGTAAAGCAAGTTAAAGGCGCTTCGGAACATTTATTGAATTTTCAAAATCTCGAATGAATCAGAAGATTTGAGAGCCAAATCGCAGTGAAAAAATAATTATCAGGCACTATTTTGCTTGTAAGTAATTGGAACGTTTTCTCCGTTTTTCTAAAAGGCGTTTTTCGGAACTTTTCGCATTATAGCTTCACAAATTAAAGCAGGTTAAACGTACTTTGCAGTATTTTTTTAATTTCCAGTCTTAAAACGCCGCTAAAAGGCGCTTTATTTAGCTTGTATTTGCAATGTTTACTCGGATTTAAATCAGAGAAGCAAAGAATAACCAAATGTAAAGAATCCATAAAACTTCAGTTGCCATTAGAAAAAGTATTCAGTTCAAACTAAGGGATTTAGGTAGAGTTTAGAAATCATTCTTTCCAGCTTTCTGCAAGCTGGCGCCCCATCCTCCATTTTCTGCCTATTAATAAACTCCACTCGGTACTTAAACAGTCAATAAAAATCTACTCCGAGTAGAAAACTTAAATCCTGCAGTTCGCAAGCAGAATAAACTACCGCATTTGCTTTCGGAAGTTCGGATTTAAGAACGCGATTCACACGACACAAAGAACGATCATTTCAAAGCTGCATCTAACTTTAGGCTCCTTGATTTGGATTTTGGGGTTTTTTACACTTGAAAACAACAAAAGCTTTTTGCATATATTTTACTTTTAAGTTCGTGAAGATTAATATTTTGTGGAAAACTGGCCTAAACGGCAGGTACAGATTCAAACCAGCTCATGATTGCATGATGATGCATGTTTTCGTGCGCTGGCATCATTAAAAGCGACTGAATACAACATTTGATGTTGACACGAGCTCTCTGATAAATCTTTTGCTACATTTTTATGAAACTTTGGATTTTTTCAGCTTACTATTAAACTTTACCACCTTCCGAAAAAATGAGTCCGAGAGTGCTTTGGAATATTTTTTGAAAGTGTAAAATTTCGAAATAACCAGAAGAGTTCAGCGCCAACACCGTTAAAAATATTTAGCGGCCATTTTATTTAGCTTGCAACTGGAAAATTTACTCGGTTTTTTAAAAGTCGGTTTTAGAAGCATTTCGCATTGTAGCCCAAACCAATTAAAGCTGGTTAAAGACGCTTCAAAAAAATTGTTCAGCTTTTACTGAGTAAAGCGAGATGAATTTGAAGCAACCGTTAATATAATTGTTAAAAAATATTTTCGTTTAGTTTTGGATTATAAACTCACAAATTAAAGCTAGTTGAGGGCGCTAGTGGAATATTTTTTCAATATTTAAAACCTGAAAAGATCAAGAAAAGTTAGCGAGTCAAAACGCCAATTGTTTGAAACTTTAAGGATGCGAAGCTCGCAATTTAAAGCTGAGAGCGCTTTAACGTTTTTAATTTACAAAATCTTAAGCCTCAGCAGATTTCCGATCACATTGAAAATATTTTTAGGCTAAAAACCATCCAGAGCCGGAAGCCCTGTTCACAAAAAACACCAATTTATAATGAAACCTTTACATGCAATACTGTTTGCATGCAAACCCTAATTGTGACCCAAAATGATTAAATTTGAGCCACAATTCGTTATTTAAAACCCCCCGACCGGAAACATTCCTGTAATTGAAGCCCTAATTAAAAGCATGATTAATCATCCGACAGCTGTGCAAGACAAATTTGAATAATTTTTCCTGAATTACATCGAGTAAAATAATAAACACTTAATATCGGTCGGTTTACCAGAAAAAATACTATCAGTACACAAATCGAGCGCGTCCAGTCGAACCAGGTTTAATTAAAACTGGTAAAAATCATTGTTTTAGTACGTCTACACATGGGGCTGTATAAACTGCATGATTTCCGCATTTTTTGTTACCTGCTCCGATTTGATTATGTTCGCGCTTCTCACTCAGCCAATGGGCCATTTGAACATACTGCACGAAATTTTGCAAAATTTTGATGAGCACAAGAGGAACTTTGCCTTGAGAAATCAAATAGTCAATGACGATATTGCTGCCTATTGGACATTGGTGGATGTTATTAAACATCATAACGAAATAATCACGTAAGTTGAAACTTTATGACGCAAAGTTTGGGTAAAACTAACCAGTTTTAGGTATGTGAATGAGATAAACGACTGCATGAGTTTCGTGATGCTTTGCGATTTTTTGCAAAGCTCCCTTCAAGTTGCTTGCATTCTCACTCAAGCCCTAGAGGTAAGTTAAATAATTCACTCAAAAAACATTACATTTTGTCCTTTTGCAGAACGATATCGATGTTTTTTTGGTCCTGTTTATGATCTCGTTCATTGGGTCGATGTTTCTCAGGCTGATTCTTTACTACCATTATGGAAATGAGCTGCTCACAACTGTAAGCCACTCAAGAGTTGCAGTGCGATTAATGAACTCATTAAGCATTTTTTAGAGTCAAAATATTGCGCTTTCAGCCTGGCAGAGTAACTGGTACGACCAGTCGCCTCAAGTAAAAATAATGATGTTTACGGTGATTGCGCGAGCTCAAAAGCCACTAAAATTCTACCTGGGACAGTTCGGCGTCATGTCGCTGCAAGCGTTCATTTCTGTGAGCAACTAGATCTTTTTCAGCAATAATCTTTTTTATTGTCTAAACTGACCTATTTTAGGTTCTGCGGGCCAGCTACTCTTACATGACCTTAATGTATGGGCTGAACTGAAACCAAAACACTTCACTTTTTTAGTAATTTTATTAACGAAATGAATAGTGATCCACTAGCAGAATAGTCTAGATTGTAACTACACTAAAGTAACTTACCATTAAATCACACTAACAGGCATCAATTTACATATTTATTTGAATAAGATACATATACTATAAAACAAGTTAATTCAAGTGAAAACCTTTCTCCTTTGTTGCTGCGAGCAGTCTCTCCTTAAGTATCTCCTCAGTTGGATAGTCGGGTAGCTTCAAATAGTGCACGCAAGTGTTTACCGACGGGTACGAACCTTTGCCAGCATCCACTTTACGCACGATAGTTAATCGCGGATACAAATTCGCTAAACCGCCTGGAGGCAGAGAGCTGCACCCAGTGGTGAATTGCAAGAATGCTTTTCGCTCTTCAGGCGTCATATCAACTAAAACGTTGACAAACCTTTGGAAACCCGGACTGAAAACAACAAGAAGTATTCATATTAACATTTTCTTTTTTAAGTAAATCAATTTGATTTGATAATTGACTGCTCACCTTTCTTTAGTGTATCCTAACTTTGGTTCCGTGTAGTTCAGCAGATCTTCTTTGGTCCATTCGGGATTTTGGTTTCCACAAAGCATAATGGCCATTTCACCTGGACTGAAAGCTGCCAACTTCTCCATCGGGAAAACTTGGCAGAAACCTTTATGGAAAGCATTCAGTTGTCTGGTTAAGCCGGTTTCCAAACAAAAACTTGAAGTGAATTCTGAGTATTCCTCTAAATTCTCTATTGTGACTTCTATGTCGTCGCCATTCGGCACCAAGTTTACGCTGTCGAAGCCAAAGACATCTGAGCTTGGCAGATAAGTAAAAGTGAGCGCTAGATCTGCCAAAGACATCGATATTTCGGGATAGTGAAATGCCAAGTTTTGGATCTGATTCGTCTTATCCTCTGGCGACAAAGAGTGATCTTGCATAATATTTTGTTTCTCTCTCACTAGTTGTTTGACTTGCTTGAGGAAATCGGCTCTGACCGGGTCTATGTCAAGAAAATCGTCTTCGTTAAGAAGATTTGAGAACCAAGGCCGGCCATCTTCAGTGACTAACTTGGGCGGATCGAGCTCCAGCTCCTTTTCACTTTCCTCCGAGATATAACTGGAAGCCATAATATCCTCTTCCGTGCTCTTCTTAATGCCCACCAGGCCAATCCGTTCGTTCACCGTGTTCTGAATCTCGCCGTGGCACATCAACTTCAAAAAGCTCTTGCTCAGTGGCAGATCAACCAGACGATTATCTTGCAACACTTTCGCCAAGAACACACCCAAAAACCAGAAATACTTCACAGCCTTATCACATACTTCAGAGTTCTGTGGCAAAGGAGCGGGAAACAGACCAGAGGCTCTTCTTACGTAGAAACCCGGCGGTTTCAGCCCTTCGCCTAAATCAACAGTTTCAGCTTCATAATTCAACTCATCGTCGCAGATCCACATGCACAAATCCCGTCTTTGCAATTCAGCAGCGACTAAGGCGTAAAATTCCAATGTCGGCCCTAGTCCTGTACCTTCTTCTCCCACAAATTCCACCTGGAACAAACAGAAATTTGAATGCACTCAATTGATTTGGAAATTCATATCGCACATTTCCAGCTTTGAAGGCAGATAAACCGGCTTTAATTTGCCAGTTAATAACTGATTTCTTCTGGCACTTTGAAAACAGAATTCCCCATGTCAACTCAGTTAGGTCCATTTTGTGAAACACTGCAATTCGCAAATCACCTCTTTGCCTGATATTCGGCTCTGATCTTTTGGAAACTGTCTTACCTCTAAAATAGACTTTTTCTCCGCGTGAACCTTCATAACTTGAATAGCCCAATCCAGCAGTTGATCACCTCGGGGAACTTTCACTCGTTCGTGCTTCAGTCTGCCTACTCGAAACTCGTGCGGATCGTCCCTTCTGGGTGATAAACCAGGGGTGCGTTGCCGTTCAATGGTCACATCGCGTTGAGTTTGCAACCACACGATACTCCTAGAAGCTCCGAATGCTGTACAATTGAAGTAGAGCTGCCTGGTTTCGAATGGGAATAAGAAAGGGCAAGAGTGATTCAATTCCTCGCACCAAGTGGGCAAGCTGGAGCTGGACAGCACTAGTGGGTCTTGAATTTGCTGAAACAGAAATATTTCCATTGCTGTAATAAAAGGAACTGGAATTTTCGTTTGACTTTGAAAAAATCGTACCTGCAAAAGCTTGTTAGTGATCTTTTTGCTGGAATACAGCTCGGAATTGACTTCGGCGTAATTCAAAGACTTTTCAATAACGCTGTGAGATGTTGTGATGACAAACAAATGTCTCAATAGATGAAGAACGTCCTCGACAGTGCAACTGGACACCGAAGGTGTTCCAGGAACTGGAGTGGATGGCGAAAGTGAATGGCCAGCAATAGAGCTGGCTCGCATATGAGCCACCCGTCTAGTTACAGGGGTCGCGTGTCCGTCCTCCGAGTCGTTTGAACTGCCTTCTTTGATTTCCTTGTAAATGATCCTAAAAAATTCAAATCATGCACTGGACAAGCTTAAGAGCGGTGCTGGCTCACATATAAGTGGGCTCCCATAACCGACGCAGCTTCTCCTGCTTGGATGGAAACTCGGTTAGTTGCATCAGCTCCTGAACAGCTCTGAATATAGTCCAAGAGGGTTCGTTCAGTTCGATCTCGACGTCGTTAATGCCGGGCATGTTGGGCCCTTGAAGAACCAACTGAATTTTGGGTTGGGGCAAATATTCCAGGTCCGCTGAGCTCGAGCTTTCCTCCTGGCCTGGAGCCGGAATTTCCAGATCACTAGTTTGAATAATGTTCGTTCTTCCAGGCCGAGGATCAAAAGCAGGAATTAAGGCGCTGAACTGCCGCTTTACAACATATTCATCATCCCATGACCTTCTTTTCGTATTATGGAGCGGCTCGAATCCTTCCTCCTCCATAAAACTCAGCAGATTTCTTGAAACCATAACCTATAAAACCCCAAACAGACGGTTCCAGATGTGCATGCTACATGATCATCATCATCATCATCATCACCACCCTCACCTCATCATAATCAGCATCGTCTTCATTTTCATCATCATCATTATCATCTTCATTGTCGCCCATTTCCTCATCATCCTCCAATTCAGCAAGCAAGGTTGGAGCTCTGCACGTCTCCAAAAAGTCCTCCAGTGAAACCTGCTCGCTATCGCTGCTGGTCGAAGTCAAACTCATAGTCAAAGCCTGGCTAAGTCCTTGAACAGCACCTGCAACAAATTGGAACACATGAAAAGTGCCAGAGTGAGCCCAGTCTGAATTACGAAAGAATGCATGATAAACCGACAATACCTGCAGCGGTTGAGATTCCTGCTTGTTGAGCCCTCGAATTATTACTAGAAGATAAACTAGGATAACTCTGAGCAGTGCTTAGCAGGCCACTGGGGAAATTCGTGGACAACGCCAGCCTTACCAGACTGGATACGGAGTTGGGAGCGCGCGGGAAAATGCATCCCGCATTTTGGTTATTTTGCACGTTTGCATTCGATACTTGAGCGTTGTTAGAGTTCGAATTGCGTGATGATTGCGATGTTACCGTTGAACTTGACTGGCGTCGTCGAGCCAAAGCGGCAAACGTCTCTAACAAGCCTGGGAAGTTCAGAACTATAATTTAGTTGGTAAGGCTGAAGTTAATTGAGCATTCTAGATAAGGATGGTTGGAGATAGCACGAAGTTTAATTAGGGAAACAATGCAATTACCCACACAGATCGAAATAAAAATTAAATATTTCATCAATCACACACATGTATTCCTGTATATTTGAAAACGAACAATGGGCTATAAGTCCTGAAGGAAAGAATATGTATATTAACACAAGGAGAAACCAAAATAACACAATTTTTATAGGGGCCAAGCAAATTTTGAAAAATCCTCTAATTAACCTTCGGCTCAAATTCATGCAAATGAGAGAAAATGAATGTTGTGCAACAACAACTTACCTGCACTTGCAGTGGTTTCAATCTGGCTGTTTGCCTCAGTGCTTGTAAGATTTGGTACACTAACACTCATGGGATTGGTGACCACAATGGAATTCTTCGCATTATTTGCGTTATTCACTGCTTCTTCGTTGTCACTGCTACTGAAACTGGGTTTCGCACCATCCTCACCATCCTCTTTCCGTTTCTCCGCCGGTTCCTCATTAGCTTCGGGCTTAGAAGAAACAGATATTCGCACAGGAGTTCCCGCCATGCTGGACAAGTTGTTGATCGACTGCTGGTTGGTTTGGCTGAAGTTCAAGGCCGACTGCAGAAATTCGGCTGAAAGGAAGTTGTTGGTGTTGTTCCTCAACATATCCGAACCTTCCCGGATCCGATCCAACGCTTCAACAGCTTCGACAAAGCTCTGAGCCGCAACCGCAGTGGCATTCGTAATTTTTGTCGTCCGGTTTGATTTGCCCGCCGCAGACTTTTGGCTCGCATCCCTTAAACTATCACTAGGTTCGTCGCTGCTTTGACGCTTTGTTGCAGCTGGTTTGTTGTCCGGTAGCGTTAAACTTTCAACAATAGTAGCCAAGTCGCTGCTGTTGTTTATAGTAGAAAGATCGTGATGTGGATCCCTCAACGGATGCACGACGAGCGATAAATCGCTATCCAAGTTTCCTGCTTGAGATTCTGAAGTCACGGCCACTAATGCTTCATTTCTGGCCCCAGAGAGAACGCTTTCGGCTATAGTTACTGCTGCCTGCTTGGCAGCCAAATTGTCCGCAGAAGCGGCTTGTTCAGTTGAGGCGACCGATGTTTTGATATCAGTTGCTTCAGGCAAACTTGGCGTTGAACTGCTCTTTCTACTAGTCAGAACACTCTGCTTGTCGTCCTTATTTTTCGGTTTATTTGCCAATTTCGGCGTCGATGCTGCTCCAACATCAACGTTCACCGCCAACTTTAGATCATATTTTCCTTCAGCCCCCATACGGTAGGAGTTTGATCCTCCATGATCCCAGGTTACGTCAATCCAACCAGAATGGAGATCTCCAGTCACGGTCCCTGAAACAAAATGAGAAAATTATTAATTTCTAGGGTCCATGAAGGCTTGGGGTAGTTTTTACCTTCCCCGGGTGGGTTGCCATCCTGATCCCTCCACTTCCAATCGACCCCTCGCATCACTCTCGCTCCAACTGTCATAAATTTCAGCAACTGCGTCTTCACCAGTCTCCTTTGTTTTCTTAGCTGAGCCTCCTGTTCCTTGTGAGCTTTTCCCATTTCATCGCACACACTCGTCACTTGACCGTAGATTTCAAAGCCGGAAAGACTGAGATAATGGGTCTGACCAGATTCGTTTTTCCCCGCCTGTTGAATGCGCACATGCCGCCATCCTTGTTCGTCTGGTGGCGATTCCACTGGCCATGTGGCTGTAGAGCCTGGCTCATTCAGAGAAATATCGTGCGTGTGTGTGGAAAGCGTTGTCCAAACCACTCCGTCCTTGGACATTTGAAAGAGCCAATTCCTCAAAGCCGAACGGCCGTAGCCGCGAGCATGCCTCAAAGTATAGGCGGTAGGAATAATAAACAGACCCAAATCGATACTGAACCACGCTCGCTTGTCATCGTCTGTGTGACAGTTTAATGCTGAGGAGTCGCGCGACAGAATATCCTCCAGGCGCCCATAAGGAAGGTTTCTTCCGTCTGAACTCGTGACTGTTACCAAACCGTACTGGGCGGGATTCACCCATTCGCAGCTAGTTTTCCCATTAGTTCCAATAAAGTAAATCACCCCATTCTCATCAAAGTCGTGCGAATGTTTGAACGTTTGGAACTTGGTCTCTCGCAGCTTTTTTACAAACTGGAACGTGGCCCTGTCGTAGTCGTACCACTGTTTCGCCACCATTTTCAGCAAATACCGCTCGAGTTGAGCTACAGTAGCCAAAGGCTCCATCTTTAAACCTCTTCCAGTTCGGTCAATCAACGTACTATCACCCTGCGCTTTTTCCAGCCTGAATCTCAATCGTCGAGTTAACACCTGCAATCCATATCCGGACCCCGGAGAATCATAAAGGTACACTGGCAATTTTTCAATGCTTTCCAACACGGCGATTAGCTTTTGAACCAATATGGACATGGAATTATGCTCATCGGAGGATTTAACTTTGAAACAATCCTTGAATACTTGGATTCTTTGCTTTTGATGCTTGTTTACCTTGCTGACTTTGAGCCCTGAAATAAAAAATAATATTTGGATTATGAAAAAAAAATTACTGTTTCGATCGTAGAAATTGGGGAGATTTTCGCGCTATCAGCTGTGGTCGAATAGCTTGCATATTCATTTAAGCGTAGACCTTTGTCTCTTACCTTGATCCCAATAACTAATAGACAAAAGATTCAGAAGTGCTTGAACTAATCCAGAGCTGTACAACTCGTAAGCACTGACCACACCGTCGTCCTTTAAGATAACAGTGAGAGCGTCAATTGCATTGGTCAGGATTTCTTTCCATGAGTTGGTGCCGTCTCTGTTGTTCCCATAAGAGCCTTGTTTCTGGCATGCTCGTTCTATCTGAGCGACGATATTTCCTAACTGCGCGACTACTCCCCGAGGCTGAGCTTGAGCGGCTCTAAAGTATTGTTCATACAATTGATGAGCTAGATACTTGACTTTGATCTTTGTCGCTTCGGTTCTTGACCGAATTCGCTTGCCCTTTTTGCTTGTCCAGCCGGTAGCAAATTCAGCGCCTGCAGGTTAAAACCAACATTATTTAAAATGCAACATGGAAAGCGTACCATGCTTTACCCAGACTGGTTTCGGCAATAAAAGAATGTTTAGTGCCCCTATTGGACTCAAAAATAAAGCCCGGAAGATCGTCCCTTAATATGGTGGTTTGCTGTTGACCATCGGAGTTGTGAATATGCACTTCTGCATCTCTTTTCGAAGTTAGAGACCAGTTTCCAACCACAAGCCTTGCAGGACCCGGTTTTGACAAAATTGGTATGGAGTTATTGGTAATTCGAACAGCAGCTCGGGCTCTTTGAAGCTTTTCCAAGAACTCGCCACGGTTTTCTGAAATCGCATCGATCTCAACTGAATAAAATGCCAATAATTACAATTATTCTTACAGAAAACGTCTACGTGTCACAATGAAACTGCTGTTAGTAATAGGCCTGGGTGATACTGTGTTGAGTTGCGCTATTGAGTTGTTGCCACTCTCTGAGTTAACGAGTTATAACTCGTCGGTTAATGAGTTATAATTAATTTGTTAAAGCTTTACGACACCCGAGACTGGAATTATCACATCTAAAAAAGGGTTATTAACATTTTTTCTGAGTAACGTTTTACTATATTCAGACTATGAAGGCTTTCACGGCCGGTTAAATCACATTTAGGAATGTTTTCTGGGCTTTGAAGCCGTGGTCTATGGGAATTGAACAGTTGTCAACCAGTCTTAGTCGAAAAGCACGGGAGATCATTTCGCCCACTGCCTCATCGCCTTTGATAATGTCCACCGCAGTTGTGGACGAAACGTCAGGAAGAAATTCCCATAGACCACGGCTTCAAAGCCCGGAAAACATTCCTAAATGTGTTTTACTACATTGTTCAATCAACTAAGAAAAAGTCATCTAGATCTTCCCAGCAACAGAACTGAGTCCAAAGAAAGTCGACGAGTTTTCTTGTAAAATCTATCTCTTCATTTGTTTCCATAAAACATTCAGTTTGTCAGTATTTTACATTAAAACGTTAGGAAAAACGCGGTTTTTATTTTTAGAGACACGGTTGCCACGAAATATTAACCTAAAAGTGAAGAAACGCCAGTTTCCAAGAGTTTTCCAAATACATGATTATAAATTTTCGCTTTTTCAGTCCGGGGAAATATTTTTGAAAAAAGACCTAGAAATAATTATTAGGGTTTTGTCCATAATTTGAAGCTGCAAAAAGTTTTCCAAACATTTGTGCCAAGCGGTTAAGGATGCGAGTGTTCCAATAAAATGTAGCTTATAATTTTTCAAGGAAAATACCTCAAAATTGCCAGTATTTTAAGTAAAATTAAAAAATAATGCGATTTTTGCGTAGAAAGAATTGCTTAATAGAAACTTTGTTAAAAATGACCTGAAAATTTAAAAGAACTTTAGAAATCTTCAGAGCGATGAGGGCGGCGAATTTTCCCATTAATTTTTTGTTAACTTTTCCTCTGGTGGTTTTTTTTTAAGATAATCCTAATTACTTTTTAAGGGTTTTCTAAAGTTCCTGCAAACCGCGAATTTTCTAGCAAATTAATTATATAATTTTTGACTGAAAACACCCTATTATTGTCAAAAAAGAAGAAAATTATCAAAAAATAATATTTTTTTACCGTTTCGATTAAAAACTTTTAGTTTTGTGATCGGTTTTGGAGAAAACCTTAATAGTTTTCAGGAAAAAAACGGTAGAAATTTATTTTCGTTTTTGCCCCGAATTCAACACTGAAAAAAGTTTTTGGAATTTTTTTACGAAGCTATGAATTTATCTTGCAATAATTCGCGTAAAAGTCCTCCAGGTCGTCAGTATTTTTAAGTAAAAGTCTACAAAATAGAGCGTTTTTGAGTAGAAAGTAAAGCAAAAAAAATTCGGTCAAAACTAAAAAAACACATTTTTCAGAAATTCTACTGTCTTCAGAGGAATGGAGGTGAGAGATTTCCAAATCTGTTATAAACTTTCGCTTATTCTGTTCGTTTTTTGATAGAAAATTGTTTGATTTTTGTTCCAAATTGGAAGCTGGAAAACGACACAGGATTCCAAATTTATTTCAGATTAATATTGTCAGCATTTTTAAGTGAAACTTTAGAAAATTGAGTATTTAGAAGAAAGAGTAACTTGGCTAAAACTAGAAAATTCTGAAATTTGAAGACATTTTAAAAATGTTATTAATAAATGGCCTTATAATAAATCTTAAAAAAGTTATAAAAGTCATCAACATTTTCCCAGCAACGGAATTGAGTTACTGCGCCGGTGCGTTGGATTGGCGCAGCACTGCGCCAACTCCTAAAAATTCACTGAGTTACCCAGGCCTAGTTAGTAGATTGCAAAAAGTTAACATACTTGTCAATGTGGAGGCCTGCACTAGACATGCAAAACTGGAATAACTATCTAGTCTGGTTGTGTGTAAGTAAATAAAGCGTGCGATAAAAAAATAGATGAAATTAATTAAAGTAAACTACAAATTTGACGAATTTTAAGAACAAAGTAAATCTCCAGTAGATGACTGTGGAACTGCCGAACGTTTGAGAGCCACAATTTAAATAAAATGGATTAATGATTCACCTACCTTCGGTCGTAAGGGAGTCGGTGGATCGGGCCTTGCCTAAATGCAACAAAAACAAACATTGGTTGTGACACTCCGCAGACTTATGTAATCGTAAGATTCAATTTTTTATACTGACATGGGTGTTATTTCACGTTAAAAAAAAGTCGATTAAATGCAACAAAAACACAAAAAACAGCAAATGTTTGATTTAAACTTGGATCAAAATGCTTTAAAAGATGTTGTGGTCTAGGCATTCGTTTTTCAGGCTAGTCATCAAACCTACCTTAAAACCGTCTTCTTGAAGACAGCTTTTAGCTTATATCGCGCAACTTCATAAAAACCCAACGGGCATGAAAATTAAGAGAATAATCCCTTTCCCAATTAAAAATTCAGCTTAATATCAAAGAACCCCTTCCCAAAAACCGCCTAATTTGATCAAACTTCCAACTTTATATTCGGTTCAAAGCATGCATAAAACCGCAAGGAAATTGTAGTTGGGTGACTTCTACGAAACATTTTACTGCAATCTTTATACTTCGATGTACAAACAATAAAAAATCAAGAAAAAATCAGTTGCTGAAAGTACGAGAAAAATTTACCTGGTGTATCAGCGCCGCCTTCAGGAGATCCGCTCGAGTACATGGTCGCTAATTTACCATCGAGTATAAATCGGAACCATCCATTTGAACCATTGGAAAGTTCCAAAGCTGCAGCATCGCTCCAAAGATATAGACAATCTCGTCCGCGACAAACCGACCAGTCCTTCCAATGATAAGCTTTTCCCGGCAGGATTTCTTTTGCATCGTCCACTTGCTGTTGCTCGGTGGGTTCTGTGAAAGTCAACTCAGATTAATAAATGTCAAAGTGAGACATTGAAAAACAAACCTTCTTGCGATGGTTCCCCTTCGTCAGCTTCCTGGGGTTCTGGCGGGGCTGCCAAGGACTGGACTTTGGAGAAAATTCCCAGTCGGGCAAAATGATCCAAAAAGGTCTTCTGGTTTTTCACCATCAGATCCTGGATGATAGTGAGAACCACAGAGTGACCATCCTCGTCTTCCTGTCACACAAAGCCCCTGGTTAAAAAGAAGTCTGTGTAAATCGAAAGAATATTACCTCATTGTCGAGCACAACGGCAATCACTTCAACCAACTGTGTGGCGAAATTCGGAGTAATCTCGATAGCGCAGAGATCTTCGAGCAAATTCGGTTGGATGTAATGGATCATTTTCTTGATTAATCCCAGACTGGCTTTTCTCACGCTGGGCAGCATTGTTAGCTGGAATGTACTGCAAAATATCGGTAGCAGACGTTTTAAATAAACAGGCGCCATTTCTGGGTCTCCTTTCGGCTCGACGCTTTCGTCAGTATCCGATTCCGACTTTCGGCCTCGCTCCTTGTCCAGACAAACCATCCATTCGCCTAATAAAATCTCAATAAAACACATTTTTAAGCAGTTTCAAATAGCTTACCGGGTGATTGTAAAATAGCCGCCACTTCTCGATGCCCTTCGTCAACCCTTTCTCGCGCTTTATCCAATGGTGTTTTGCCATCTTCATCCCGCAGATCAGGATTTGCGCCATACCTTAAGAGCACTTTAGCGATTGTTGGCCTGCCGAAGCAAGCAGCGTAATGTAATGACGAAGATCTTTGGCCTTTGTTAACATCCGCTCCTTTTTCGCAGAGATATTCGACCATTTCTTGAGTGCCAAAAGCTGACGCCCAATTTAATAAGGTTTGCCCGACGTCGTCCATGAAATTAACCTGCGAAGAGACAAAAAAGTCAGCAAATTAGGTAGATTTTTTAAATAAATAAGCAACCTCTATGCCGCCATTTTCGATAGCCTCAATAAGAGCGTCTGTATCTTTGGATCGGATGCAGTCGATCAGCTGTCTATGAGATTTTTCAGCTGCGGAATCCATGCGTCTGATCCTCGGCATCAGTTGACCGGAAGTGCAAGCGCCCGGTTTTCCCAGGGCTCTGCGCCCTTCGAACAGCAAAACTAGCAGCAAATCGACCAATCTCATCGAGTCTAGCGTGCATCGCTCATCTCCTTTCAGAGCTTTTTCTATAGCGTCCAAAAGCTCGGATCGCAACAAATCCTGCAACACACGGTTAATTGGCCTCTGAAACTACACCAAACAAAATGAGTAACTTACATGGGTAATGATGGGAGATCCTCTGCATAAAGTGGACAGTAGACTAATAATGGTAGAAATTGAAGCGGCATTAGCTTTAGAGTCGGTTACTGCAGGGACGCTTGATGATGTTTGGGTTTTACCGGTATTCTGGGCGGCTGCTGCTGCTGGACCGGCTGCATTAGATAGTCTGCTCAACAACTCCTTTACCAATCCTGAAAGGAAGTTGGAAAATGACCCTCTGAAGTTGCTATTTTTTGTGCAACACTCACCATGTTGAGCTAAAGGCGCTGGATCAACGCCTCTACGAGTAAATCGGTCAGCGACGGAAGCGAAACAACGTAGCGCTCCATCTGCTACTAGAGTGTCTTCATGTTGCAGCAAGGCGCTCAATGCCTGCAGAAACATGGCGTAATCCTGATGCAATGATTATATTGGGCGAATAATTTACCTGAACACAGCCAGGCAGTTGTAAATCGGCAGGTTCCATCTTGGTGCATAAACGTGACACCACAGCCATAGCTGAATGCAGGGTGTCTTTGTGAACGCCTTGGCCATTGTCTCGAATAAATGGGAGAATGCAGCTTAAGCCACTGGCGTCAAAAACTGCGCCAGCTTCTCGCGTGCAAATCAATTCTAGTACCTAAAAGAAAGATCGCCTTTACCGATTTATCGATATCAAAGTGCTAGACACCGTACCTTAACGCACTGTTCCGCTAAATCCTTGCTAGTTCTACTGGCCAACTCCACCACAACCAAACGATCGCAAATTGCTTTGATAGCGCCATCAATAGCTACAATTCTCTTAGTACATTCAGCGGACACATCCAGATAATAAGTTATAGCTCTGGCTGTGACCTAATAATCATTAATGCAATTTAATTGAAATGTTCGCAAATAATTTTCACCCAAAACACTCACTTCCAGAACATTTTCTGGAGCCTGTTCGTCCAGAAATATCCTGCATAGGGCCGGGAGGAAAGTTCTCGGGGGACAACTCTCAAAGCAGCGGTCAACATTATCAGACATCAAAAGCAGCATGCACAGTTGCTCTAGAGCAATGAGTTGCATGTCCCTTTCATCGCCTAATCCACTGTTGAGCCATTCCAGAAGAGTCTCGGGATCAGGGTCGGCCATCTATTCAAGGTAATATTTTCAGAACCAAGTGAAAGTGAAATGTGGTCAGTTGGCTTGGTAAAACGGACTAACTATAAACGATGTCAAAATTATTTAGGTTGTTCAAATCGGCTTTTTTGATGAAATGAAAATCTTGAAAAGTACGAGTGAACCTTCTATGAACTAAATAATGAATGGATTTGAAAATGGGGAAAATTCCAATATTCTCCTTATGAAAATTGAAAATCTTTGTGTTGGCGATTGGCCTTAAAACAAACAACGCGAAGCACTTTTATGCGACCAAACATCGTGTCTATCGCGATAGGGAACTGCATTCTGTTTCAATCTACCTTTTAAATTCCTTCCTGCCAGAGGATGATGTTTATTTATCGTATTTGTAGCAAAACCTAATCTAGAGAATCGCACTAATAGGATATTGAAGAGACAAGTGCGGAAATGTATAAATTAAACGTCTGGTTTCCTTTGTTGGCAATTGCCTCGATAAAAAGATGTGGAATCTTAGCTAGTAAACCAGAATTTCCAACATACGTAAAATAAATTATCTTATCTGCCTACTTATGTGCATGTCTTCTGCTAGTGATGTGACTGAAGCCAAGAGATCAGATGTGGGTCATTTGAAGCACTTAACCGTCACGACAAAGTGCAAATAGATGTGTAGAGCAGGTGAATTCGTGTGTGGTGTGGTCCCATTTTCCAGGAAATTGTTGGGTGAAAATGCAAACAAAGCGATCCGATTTATCAATACTTACTGTTAATCTGGTAGACGGCCTGATGCGTTTCCTCGACGAGAATGTGCGGATTTGAAGGAAAGTCCTGAAACAGGAAATTGATTAGAAAGGTTATTGAGACAATGTACAATGCAAACCCAACCATAACTAGGAATGCACAAAATCAATAAAATTTGGAAGTTTGCATGTCCTGGACAGTAGCACTGAGAATGATTTGGAGACGTTGACAACGAGTTTAATGAATTTGAGCATATTTCACTGCTTGTGACATTGATATAAAAACAAGAATTTCGTTTTGAACCAAATCATATAAAGAAAATGTCACCAGTTGGTGAAAAAATGGGCTCGTACCTGGTTGCGAAGCTTTACATATCACGCGATCTTCACTTTCGCAAATTCGCGATCCGAGCAAACAAACTTGAGAACACTTGCGGAAAATCAAGGTGTCGAACTGGAAATCAATGTTTTTATGACGAATTGCAAATACATGGGAAAACTAATTGTAATGGTTAAACGTCAACCGATTATACAGTAATCAGAACCACCAACACTACGCAACTAAATTCAATATGGATGACCTTTCACCATCACGTCCAGCCTGTCATTATACAGTTAATGCCATGTTGTCTCTTCCTACTAGTAGAATTCTCGCTCTTTTAGAAAGAGAAAGATAGAGGTTGCTAATCAAACAATATGTATTATAATAATAAAACGCATCAATACAATAACATCTTGATAATCAGATCTTAGAGCTCAATTTCCAGTTTTCTGAAATCGGAAAAATAACGAAACTGTAGCGCCTTGAACTTAGATTTTTAAAAACATGTTTATTATTATTATATTTCCTTTGCTTTTTCACCGATTGTTTTCAACTTTGGCATCCCTACATGCAAAATTGTTAAAAATGCAACAAAATGTTATTTTCCTTTTGTTCTTTATTAGAAATTAATAAGAAGTTTTTTTGACTTCACAAGAAGTTTGGGGCGACAACACTTTATTGGCGTTTTAGATTTCCGAAAATTTTCAAGTTCTATCGATTGGATAGTCAATTCAGTTTGTTCAATGTTTTTTTTGCTATGAAGCACGCTTACTATGAGGTTCAACCAACGATTAGATACCAATATAAATATTATATTAGTAGTCGTTCGATTCAACATATCAGCCATAGATTTTAGATTTAGTAATAAAACATTCTAGTTTTTACCAGTTTTTACCATTGATCTATTCGTATTTTTTTAGTTTAAGGCAAAATAAATATCTGAAATCAAAGAAAAGCCTTTTCTAGAGCGCGAATTTTGAATTTTTGTTAGCGTAGGTTTTTTTCCTTAAAAAAACCCAAATTTATAAAACAGAGCGCAAAATCAGAGACACGTTTGTCTCTGATTTTGAATTATTTCATTGCAGCCACGCTCTCTGACGCTCTTAACCTTAATCGGCTCAAGAACAAATTAACCTCAAATCTTCGAATTGGAAACACTGTTTGAATTTCAGACTGTGTTGTGTGGTTTTAAGCCCTTAAACTATCCAGAATGGCTGAAGGTAACTATAAATTACCCTATTTCTAAACCACATTCCCTTTGATCTTCCTGAGTGGTTTTCCCGGTGCCAAACTAACGAAAAATCAATATTTCAGCTTATCCAGAAGTATCAGCGTGCCACCACTCAGAAGATGACGACTCGGAGGATTGGGATGAGGATATGGAACTGGGGGGCGAGCAGACAACCTGTCTTTTTTGCCCGCTTCATTTTCACACTATAGCAGTCGCCCTTGATCACTGTCGAACCGCACACAATTTCGACTTGCTGGCGTTGAAAAACAAATACAATATGGACTGTTATTCCTATATTAAAATGATCAACTACATCAGGCTGCAGAAGCCCGAGCCGAAGATGCTGCTTGATACTACCGTAGCCCTATGGGAAGATGACTGTTACTTAAAACCTGGCGAAATCGAGCCCTGGCTAATGTATGGTGGGTTTTTGGCAGATTCTAACATACACAATCATAAATCGGGCCTTTTCGGCAGATTTTGATGACCTGGGTAGCGCCCCGTCCACCCCACACTATGCAATCGATGGGAAAACTCCAATTAGCAGCTTAAACTTTGCAGATTTGCAACAGACTATCCAGGATCTCAATTTACAGGTTGGCCTTTAGCCTGGAACGTTCATTGCAATGCAGCTCTATAGTTTTCATATTCCGTAGATAAAACACAGAGACTTGCTGATCGAGAGCTACAAGAAGGACATGGAGAAAATGCGGCAGGTTGCTAAGCTGATAGTTGGTAGTGAAGACTCTTCCATTCCAGACAGACAAGTGGTAGTTGATAGTACTGTTACTGATGGCGCAGATTATTTCAGTTCGTATTCGCATTATGGGATACATCACGAAATGCTCAATGTAGGTACTACTACCATTCGATTAGAATGGTAATTTTGAGCCCGAGGTGTCCTCAAAAATTTTAAAAATCTCTATTCACTTTGAAAACTAGTGCTGTATCAAAAATATTTCGTGCGATATGAACGAAAAGGAGGTCACTTTGCGCAAACCGCGTAAACCAAATGTGCTGAAATTGCGTTTTTGGTTACCGTACAGGATAAACGCCGGACTGAAAGCTACCGAGATGCAATTTTAAGCAACCCCGGTTGCATCCAAGGAAAAGTGGTGCTCGATTTGGGTTGCGGAACCGGCATTCTCTCAATGTTTTGTGCCAAAGCTGGAGCCAAAACTGTACTTGGTGTGGACCAGTCCGAAGTCGTCTATAAAGCAATGGATATCGTACGGTATTGAACAATTAACTAGTCATTTGCGGGGGCTTTATCAGGCAATTTCCAGGGAAAACTCCTTGCAAGACCGCGTTCAGCTGATCAAGGGCCAACTGGAGAAAACTGAGCTGCCAGTGGAGAAGGTTGATGTAATCGTATCGGAGTGGATGGGCTATTTCCTGCTCTTCGAAGGCATGCTCGACAGTGTGGTTTATGCCAGGGATAAATACTTGGCGAAAGGGGGCTTGTTGCTTCCTAACAGATGCAGTATTCGCTTGTTTGGAGTATCAGATCAAGGTAAAACGCATACTCCAAAGGGTGGTAAAAATTCTAACCATCGCTGATGCTTGCAGAGCGCTATGACAATCTAATTAACTTCTGGGACAACGTTTATGGGTTCTCAATGAAATGTATGAAGCCAGATATTCTGCAGGAAGCCAACGTGGAAGTGGTGCCCAGTGACAAAGTCCTTACAAACTCCGTTGTTGTAACGGAGATTGATATAAATACCTGCACTACATTAGTATGCAACTTCAAACGGGAGTTTCAACTCACCGCTCTCAGAAGCGGCGTTTTAACGGCCATTGGAGGGTATTTTGATACGTTCTTTGACCTCCCCAATAAAGTGGAGCTGACTACTGGGCCACATGCTGAAAAAACGCACTGGCAACAGACCGTTTTTTACTTGAGAGATGTGGTGGAATTAACAGAAGGTTTGTGCAAAGTTTCTCAATTTAAAACCAAAAGCTTTTAATTTTCAATTCTAGGACAATCGATCAAGTGCTCAATTTTATGCTCCAGGCTCAAGAGGAACGTTCGTGGAATTTCGGTTGTGTTAACTATAGCCAATTCTAGTTACGAATATGTGGTAGATTAAACCAAAAGGAGTTTCTCATTTGTAAGGTAAAACCCGCGTTATTTTTGCATTTAGCCGCAAGTTTATTAAATGTGAAGCTTCTTGGCTATTTATACTTTTTACTGAAAAAAAAACAATACAGACCTATATTACAAAATAATTTATTTAAATAAGCTAAGTTAAAAGCCATTATTTCTTATTCTAAACACCTGATTGAGGGGGTTGTAGGGTGTCCTTTGCGTCGTGTAGTACGACACTCTTCGGTCGAAATCCACCTGAACGTCCGCTCTTAGTATAACTACGCCTATAAATTGAAAGTTTCCATTTAGTTTTTTTTTGGGGGGCGTTAAAATCGGTTTACTCACCTGAAGGATTGACTTTCACTTTTATTTTGGTTTGAGGGGACAATACTCCGTAGTCAACGTCTTCGTATAAGTCCTGAAAGAGGCACATTTAATAAAAATTTCATTCTCTGTTTCTGTGATTTACTTCAACTCTATATCCAGTCGGAGAACTCAGTCCTAGTTCTTTTAAAGTAACAGCCACATCAGATGGGGTTCCATCGGTGCGTCTATTTACAAACGCTATCGCATAAGAAAAGTAGTTTTGGTACAAGGGAGTTATCGGTCTTGACCATATTTCGATCCCTTTATGCTACAGAAATTACAAGGTGAATTATTTTTAATAATATAAATACAAAACACCTTCTATTTTACGTTACCTTATATATTCTCCTTCCTTGGATTCCTAAAGGATCCTGATCAACGGAAATAATTTTCTTATTTTGTAATATGGCTTTGTACTCTGATCTGATCGTTCTGAGGTCGACGGACATCAGAAGCGGTGCGGCTAATATAGCCCAAATGGCCATTTGGGTCTTGCTCTGCTCGTAGCTGAGACCGAAATTTCCAATAATTAGCTGCAAATAGCAAGGCAAATATTTAAGCTATTTTTGCGATAGTTGTACATGTTTTCGAATTAATTAGCATTTAATTTGTTGAACTGGCAGCCAACTGGAAGCTGGGCTTTGGAAATAATTTTACGGCATTTGCATAGTTATTTTAAACGACATAAACATTTATGATTATTGGGTTTTCGAATGACTAAACCGTGACTAAGAATGTGGGGCAATACGTCTTTGGCATTAGTTCAGTTGGATACTATATTAATCAATAAACAATTTATTTTTACAATTATAAAATAATATCAAATTCAGTAGCGGAAAACTTTGTCGAATTAATTTTAATTAAAAAATGCCTAATACGTCCAAGACGTCATAGTTGCAAAGCGATAAACTTTTAAAGTCTCCCCACTTCTCTATCCCTTTTCTTTTGATGCAGGTTGCACAACGACACTTGCTCCGGTAAATTGCCGAAAAATTTGGGAATTTTTGCTTTTCCGTGCCAAAAATGTGTGATGTTCTCTAACTAGAAGCTTTCCTTCGCTGTTTTGTGCTATTTTCTCGTCCAGCAAATGCGGTTTTCAGAAAAATACGTGTTTTTTTTGTTTGTGAATTTCCTGACGTTTAGATGACAACACTCAGGGTTAGCGGCGCTGTTTCGGTGAGTTTTTGCATTTTTTTTTTGAATTTATCATATTTTGTCTACGTTGCAACGAATATTTATCAGTATTTGGTAATATGTTAACAATCCTAAGTGAAAATGAACAATAGCGGTTTTCCAAAGTACCGCAGTGTGGCACTGATAGGCATAAACTTTCGGGTTTTATCACTACCGAATTAATATTAATTAATTAACGAATTCATTTTAATTAATTAACGAATTAATATTAATTAAAAATGCCTAATAAAGATAGTCCAAGACGACATACTTGCAAAGGGACACGCTTTCAAAGTCTCCCCATTCTTCTAGCCCTTTTCGTTTTATAGTTCACAACGACATTTGCTCCGGTAAATTAACGAAAAATTTGTGTCGTTCTCAAACTAGAAGCTTCTATTCACCGTGTTGTGATTGGTTCGCCGTTTTCTCGACGGGTAGTGCGATTTTTCTTTTCGTGAATTTGCTGACCTCTGGATGACAACAGTAGGGGTTGCGGGGCTGGTTCGGCGAGTTTTTGCATTTTTTCTCTGAATCTAACATATTTTGCCTACGTTCTAACCACGATTTCTCTGCATTTTTTGCACCAATAGGGGTTTTTCAAAGTATTTGAAAGTGCGACACTGATAGTCGAAAACTTCCGTGTTTTCATGCATATATTTAAATTTACTTCAGGGAAATTCACCACTAGCATATCACCTAGTTCTGTCTCTTACGCAAGCTTCATAATGCATATGATTTCACCCACTGTTAATCATAACAATTGGCAAGAGATTATTAATTATTATATCGCATTAAAAATGCCATTGTTTCCCTGCAATCTGCCGATCTCGTTTCAAACGCCTATTAATTCGAATTTTTGTGTGCTTAATTAAGATGTTATGTTTTTACGTAACACGATCGCTAGGCGTTAATTAATTTTCAATGCAACTATTAAGTAAAATGTGCTTAAAAAGTTAACAGTTTTCGATGTTAACAAAGTACTTTGCTAGCAACGAAGTCTCTTAAATTTTCAAGCACATTTCACTCGTAGAAAAATTGTGGAGACGTCTTTAGATACAGGAGGAAAGTTTGCGGCTTTTTCAGCTTTAAATTTCGACTGAAAACGCTGAGCTTTCACGCATAGAATGACAATTTTTAACCGAAAGCAAAGTTTTGCTAAATGAAGCTGCAAATTTTGAATAAAAACACGAAATTGCACCCGTAAACCTTTAAATGCCCATCACATACTTCAGATTTGCTTTTAAGGCAAACAGGCCGTTAAAAGAAAACCGTTAACTTTACATTAATGTACATCAAGCAAACCGCCTAGCAATTAGCACTTTCAACAATCAATATGTTGAATCTTTAACACCTAATTTGCCGCTTATGTTGTTTATCAACGATATTTACATAAATGCATTTTTCGTCATTTTGAACGGTTTGTTTGTGCAATTAGACAACAACCGACATGGCGAAAGATCCTTGAATATTTCACCTCATGTGGTAATTTTCATAGCAGGAAAATTGGGCTAAATTATGGTATTAACAGCAATCGCAGTTGCCATCATTGCATGTCGCAATAGAATGGATCAAAACACCCGGAGTAACCTAAAAAGCCGAATAAAAGCCATTTATAACGCTTAATGTTGTCAAATTATTTATGGGTAAAATAATTGAGCAATTTCCAATGTCGAAATTAATTTGCCATATGCCATCAACCCATGGGAATTCAAATAATCGCTGTTATAATTCAATGGATTACTTCGGTCGATGAAGATTTAACGTACAAAGACTAGTCAACGACCGGATTTATTTAGAATATTTGTCGGTAATTCATCAAAAAGTTCCATAACTGTCTTCGAATGTTTACTACATTTGTGTGACAAAAACCATAAAATTACCCAACCAGAACCACGGTTTCGTGACAGGTGCAGTACCATAGTTCTTCCTTTAAATTGCTACTTATTACATCAAGTAAACAAAGTAAAGTGATTTTTGCAACCAACCAACTTATTATTTAGTCATGACCGTATATTAAATATTAAAGCGAAAAGGAAAGTTGAAATCATGTCCACAGTCATTTGATTGATCGTTGAAATTGAATCTCGGATCGAGTCTTTTGTTTATTACTTATTTATAATTCAATTGTTGGCGTTTTTTTTCCTTATGTTGATCCTGTATTTCATTAGAAAATTATAAGAGAATTTTTAGTGTTTTAACTTTCTGATATAAAATTATTTGCCACTTTGTGCTGATGCAAAGCAGGTAACCGGTAACTTGCGCGGTAAAAGCCCAGATTTTTAATCAGTCATATTACCAAATCGCCCATTAAGGACTAAACTGCTTTCTATGTCGATCAATTAGTTTTTTAATGGAAAACCGATTTAAATACTTTTGATTATTTATTAATAATGCTGGCGAGTGTAAAGTGAACTATTTTTTTTCTGTCGCAACTTTCTTTTAGTGGAAATAGAGAGTAAAAGGCATCATTCTATCAATTTTGAACCATTTTTGAGCCAAGAAACTCTTAGGCTTAATAACAGATGTGAAATATGTGTAAAATATCGGTTTTCTCAATTTAGAACCTGAATTTTACACTGGTAGGTACTTCGGTACTACCAATTAACAACTTTCTATTAGCGTTGAATACACAGCATAAAATAATCTGTAACATTAGCTGAGCCTTTTAATCCATTACTGTAACGATTTTGCCATTCATGGTACTTTTACTTTTGTGGGGGCTCGATTGACGTGCACATGAACGCCTTTTGTATTTGGCCGATTGAAGGAAATAATGACTAGATGAAACCGATGATTACAAGGGTTCAACATCTACTCGCAATGCTGAACATGTTTATTACTTGAAAAGCCACCACAAGGTAATCGGGTTTCGTATTCTGGTATTTGGTTACGCGATTTGCTTCCCGTTGGTGACAGATGAACTGGTTGTTTCTTCAGTTGGTTGATTATGGTGATGGCTAAGTCCGCTTTCATTTTCTAAACGTTTTCAATATCGGTTTTTTATCATGAATTTCGATTGCACAAAGTTCTAAGTGTTAAGCGAATACACTGACTAAACCACTTTCTCTGACGGTTTTGTTGTCAACTTCTTCTTGGATAACCCATTTCCTCTCTTACGGCATCGGTCAATCAAATCGATTATACAACATCCGGCTAACCAGTTAAGATTTTACATTTTGCATAATCGTAATGCGAATTTACACAGTTAAACAAGGTCTTCCTTTTGACGTTTTTTCATTACTACACGTTTTCGATAACTTACCATATCTGGATCGTTCCAATGGCCCGGTCCAGCATTTGGCACAATCACGTCTTGATTGTTTCCATAATAGTCGATAATGCTCTCCACGCTGGCCCATGAATCCTGGATATCGTCAAAGTTCCTCCACATGTTGCAACTTTGGATTATCGAGGTGAAGTTTGGGGCCATTCCTGTTGTAAAAATATCATCTTAAATCATTCCAATCAGTTAGTGTGGGATGCTTCAAATTATCTCCCAAGAATACATCAATTACTCCTGCCATTGTGCAGTTTAAAACCTTCCTTCCGTTTGTTAAATTCGAGTTAAATACGGTCTTTAAGAAACGTATCTTAAGTATCAACAAAAAGTTGCAATAATCTGTATACATAACATAATACGGTCGGTTTGGTGCTCGAACTGATTTTTTTACGCATAAGTGGTACAGGGCCACCGGCTTTTTGAGAATATTGTATTAATATCAATGCATGTTAGGATATGTGATGTCATTAGCACCAAATGCAAATGTTTTGGGCTTGAAGTTGGCCTAATTTGGCAACGAAAGTATTCAAATATGTACAATATCAGGTCGATGCACTAAATACCTGCATAAATTTGGTAAACCGGCCAACTGCAGCTGTAGATCATCGCCCGTCCAGTTCGGTTCAAGTAGAATCCAAATTCCGGGTATCCTCGATCCATTTCACTCGGATGTGCATAACATCCGTCCAGTTTTACATAGTCCACGTCCCAAGAAGCGAACGTTTCCGCATCTTGTTGCAGATTTCCTATCACTCCTGGATATCCGGCACATGTGTAGTTGCCAAAGTCTTCATAGATTCCAAATTTTAGACCTTTGGCATGCACCTGGACAACCCGGAAATTTGTTAAAAAATACAATTTTCATTTACTGCTTCTGTGTGGTTAGTGGGAAAGTCTGGGTGTAGATGAACTGGACGCAGTTTTTACAATATTTGAAACACACTTTGTACCGGGTGGCCCTTAAAGAGGTCTACACATTTTTGTTGGGCAAACGTTGTTGATTGATAGAAACCCGGCAAAACATATTTTAAGTTTGATTTTCACTGAAAAACTTCAATGTCCTCAGGTCTTCCGAACGAGGAACTTTAGAATCGTCTTGTGTTTACCACTAATTTCGTTTTGGAATTTGAAAAAATTGATCTTCTTTTGATAGTTTAATTGAAATAACCTTTCAATGTGAAACACTTTGTTAGCATCACCATGTAGTAATTGTGGCAATTTACATGAATCAGAAAAAGCGGTAAGTTACGAGTCCAAGCCGATTGCAAGGTCACAACCAATGTATTCGAGCTATTAATTGAGCAATTTGAAACTGTAATAGTAAAAGTAATTAGGTATAAAATTGCATTCTTCTAATAACCTCGGAAAAACGAAGAAAAACTAGTGCAAGTAATATTGGAAAGATGCATTATTGGTCGATGTTGTTTAAGAGCCTGTAAAAATGTCGGCCGAATCAAAATTGAATCGCTTACATAATCGGACAAAGCTTTCATTCCTCTGGGGAATCTGGTTCTATCAGGTACTAGTTCGCCGTATTGGTTTCTTTCTTTCTCCAGCCAGCAATCGTCGACGTTTATGTATTCGTAACCTACATTGGCATAACCTTCGCTCACCACGATATCTGCCATTGTTCTGAAGAGATTTTCACTGGAAATAAATAAGGCTTTAATTGCACAAGTGTGGCCCAAAACGGCTGCAGGTTGTATTCCCAACTGCCCATTAAAATTCCGCGGTTAATTGCCTGGCTAGGTGCATGTTAATGAAGATGACAAAGTGACTGTATGGAAGAAATTGGCCTCATTTTCATGCTCATCCATTTTGAGGATGAACGATTCTTTTAACCTGTCTTGAGTTTGAGAAATATTGTTGTTTTCATCATGGCATGAAGTTGATAGTTGCGCGTTTGTTCCTTGTCAGTTCTTCGTTATTGGTTTGTTCAAGTCATTTATTTTCTTGAGTGAACAATTGCAGATGCGAGTTTTATTCATTAAGGGATTTATATACACAAGTTTTCAAGAGTCCAGTTTTCTTGGTAGGGAGTGTTGAAACTAAGCAACAAACACCCGTATTGTTTAGTACTGATTTTCCAGACCCCTGTATACTATATTTGGGCGGTTTCATTCTTATTTCATCTATCCAGTTGTTCAGTCAATTAATTTGCTGTATGATGATGAAAGGCAACCCAATTGATCAAATCTAGTAATTAAATTGTTTTTTTTATGAATTCCTTTGTTGGTGTTTTGTCCTTCAACCTGGAATTAACTAATCCAAGATGTAATGTGTTCCATGCGGTTATTCAACAGCGTTTTCCACCGTAATACGATGATTACGAATTTTTTGCTCACAGCATGAGTAAAACGGTTGCTACACATGTTCTTGTCGCTGCTTTCGGTGAATAATGATGGTCATTATGATTTATTTAGCGTTTCCTAATGGGAACAAACTTGGCCCAATTTGGAAAGCTTTTGTACAAATTGGCTCTCTTGAGCCTCAAAAGTGAAGAGATTTATCTCCAGAATGTATGAACAACTAAAGTTTATGTAAATGCACTACTTTCTCATAGCTGTGGCCTGAAAGTTATGATTTAGATCGTGCCGGGCAATTTAAAAGGAGATATAGATCTGTGTGGTAATTCGCCGGCATATATTGCGGTTTAATTTGTATAAGGAGGTTTTAAAACATGTCAAGTTTATTATCGTGAAGATTGGTTAATGAGGATGTGGCAAAGGTGACAAACATTAAGTACATCAAAGTGGAACAAAAATGGCTGTTATGGTTTTGTTTTCATGCTTCTAACTAGTCAGTTTTTAGCTTCAACTGGCTTCAATAATAACTTATTTATTACAATTGAGTCAGTGGAAAATCTTATATCCGCTCAACATCAACCAATTGCTATTGTTCGGTGTATCTGTCACGCAATCTATTTAATCTCCATTTCCCATTCGAATAACCGTTTCGTCTCAAATTAGCACGATTGAAAGGTCAAAACGCTTTTCCATTTACAAGAGATTAGGATTTTTTTCCGAATTTATACAGACATAACAAGGTTAACGAAGAGTGGCCATACAATAGCTGGTAATTTACCATAATAGACGACTGGGCCTTATTTTGTATTCAGATGTGATTTGATAATTCAAATTGGTGTCTTCTCAACTCAACAGGTTCGTTATTTATGGGCTTTTATAGTGTCGGCCCGCGGATCTCTTCAAGCTATAAATGATAATTGTTTGGTAGCTTTTTTCAAGTGTAGGAGTTACATTTTTTTAGCTTTGGTGCAGTTGGGCTGACTTTTTCGTGAACATTTTTGTCATTTACTTACCTGATGCAGTTGTCAGGGTCATTTTTGCAATCTGTGTTGCATCTGAACCGCTCCCACGCCAACCAACCCATTGGTGGCGTTCTTGCCAACCCATTCTCGAGTGAAACCGCACTACTAATAAGAACAGCCAAAATTGCTCCAACGCTCGTCCATTTTTTGAACATCTCACTTTTGATTTTAACCTAGAAACGGACATTTTGACTTTAATATGACAAAAAATATAGATTTATCTTGGGAAATAATCGACAGGTGAACTTATTACCGACTTAATGTATGCATAATTTCAATCTTTTTATATGCAAATGATGTGTGGGTATTTTTTCTTAATGTTACTCAATGGGCGGCTGGTTTCCATAGTTTTGCCTCAAATCTGTCCATTTTACTCATATTGTACGGAAATAATTGCTAAAGACTTAAGCTCAAACTCAAAGTTAAAAACCCCTAAGTACCAAGTCGGTTAATCGAGGAGGCCAAACAAGCAAAGTGCAATAACGCAGAATACCCGCCCAGTATAAACAAAGAACTTGCGTAGGCCATTAAGAAGTTTTTTTTGTTCACACGTAATGTTTTGTAACGATTTCCGTTAAGGACATGCGAAAATTAAAAAAATGGCATAGACGTGATAATAAGTGAAAGTGTCATTAGAACAAAACGTATCAGTAAACTGTAGTGGAAACCCTGCAGTTTCGCAACGCCCGGCCAGCATTGCCTGCATAATGTTGCGAATAATACGAAATATATTGCCAGATGTTGAAAATCGCTTCGTTTTCAGGTGTTGACCTTTCGGTAATTGATGTTTAATAATTTTCGAACATTTAACTTTGATTTCAGAGGGTTAATAACGCTTAATGTTCGGCTCTAATTAAGATTAATTCCATAATGGATTTTCAATAGAATTAAATATATTTTTTAAAGCTGGCAAATTTATTGATTGTGAATAATTAATTTAAGCGAGCGATTTTATATCAAGTGAAAGCTAAACCGAGGAAGTTTGAGTAAACTGACTAACACTTCTTAAGAAAAGTTTTCTAACTACGTTTTCAATTAGTAATAGCAAAATCTGTGCCTGAAAACTAAACAAAACACAATTTTATACAAAAAGTGCGGAGAATGTAAAATTTCTACAAGCAAATGACGTTAGAATTTTTTACAAATTTCTTACGGGCGCATGAATCGCTGAAAATGCTATTAAATTGACACTCATTAACTTATATCTCCGAGTAAAGCAAACTCTTCCTGAGCGCGTAAAACTGCGAAATTTTGATAGGTTGAGGATGTTTTTCGAAACGTTTCCAACTGCAGCACCATTTGCTTAATAATTTCTAACTTAGAGAGGACTTGGGACTTGAAACCTGACATGAAAATGGAGCAAACTCGTCCCTTAAACTAAACCGTGAAATTTCAACAGCTGATGATGAGTTCTTGCACATTTGTATGAAAAATAGCTCCATATTTCTGAGATTGACAACATGTTTCTACAATCTTAAGCCACAAATCAAGTTTTCTATCGAAAATATCAACGTAAACCAATTCTGAATCAGCAAATGCACTTTTTAGACTTTACTATATATACCATGTTAGAAAGCCAATAACGAAACTAAAAAAATGTAATAAAACTACATATTGATTACAAGTTAATGAGAATGTTGAAATATTTATAAAAAGCTTCTAGTTTCCAGTGTGCAGCAGAGTTACAAATTTTGGGAAAAAAACTTGAACTAAAGCTCGAGTTTTTGCGCATTCCATCCACTTTCCCTTATCTAAATATGTAACGGACTGCCACGACTGTTCGTAAATCATCTTGATAGTGGTACCAAAGCACTTTACCTTATTCGGTACTAAAGATTTTCGGCACCGTTTTCCTTCTGAGTTCACGGTCACTGAGTGGTTCACTACAACGAAGGTAAAAGTGAAATGGTACGGGCTAGTTCGCGGTAGTACTGTCTTACGTCCATTCGCGATGGAAGTTTAAGCGCGAATACTGTCGAAGAGATCAGTGGTACTACTGGTACTGTTCTTTCGGTTACGGTACGACCGATCAGCTAAATGGTAGATTCGAAATGACCACAAGCTGAGGTGGGTCTGAATGCTGAACCTAGCCGGATACAGTACCAGGTTGTGTGGTTTTTGGTTTAATGATAGTACTGTTTACGGTTCTCTGCTATCAGATAATTGCCTTGATTAACGCTATTCATTGATGATTAGGTCCATTTAAAGGTTGATTAACTAGGATATACGTACAGTATTCCAACAATGCGACTTATTTGATTGATGAGCAGTTTTTGCAAAGCTCGTAGCATTTTCGGAATTGGAATGCCCTATTTTTGAATGTAGAACTGAAGTTTTGCAGAATATCGTCGATTCAAACGCATTTATCGCCAAAGTTATTCTTAATTTTTCTTCATCCGAGCTTCAATTTTTGAAAACTGAACCTCGAAAAAACCGAAGCAGAAGCATTCGGATTCTGGAAACGAAAATAAATACAACGAAAATTTTCGCCTTTAGTTCTGGAACAGAAGAATCCAGTTGCATTGAACCGTTTTTTCGGTACGATTTTAACATTTTACAGAAAGTTGTGAAGTGACAAAGTTGAGCCCTTTGACGATTTGTCTTATATGCAAAAAAAGCGTGTTGTTCGTCCTTTTTTTAAAATTCTTATGTTGAAAGAAACAACATAAACTTTCAGAATAATTTATGTTAATTTGTATTGTAAAGGGTTTTAATGGAAATTGATGGAGGGCTCATTTTCAAATGCAAAAAAAGTTTTATATCTAACTGATCACAGCAATTGGATCTAAGAGTTGAAAATTTCACATCGGCCTTTTTCTCATTTTGTAGTGTTTGTATATATATTTACTAACAATACGACAAACAAATAGTATTACATATTCCAACAATGACGCAGATTATTTACATGTCTTTATGGTTTGAACGTTTCGCAAGGCGCCTCATTAAAACTTGAATGTTACGCCCTCGTTTTTGCAATATCAGTTCAGTATTCTGCAGATATTTTACCGTGAAACAACTGGTTATTTTGCTAAGATATTTACCAGGAAATATGTTCATGATAATCTTCAAATAGTTGATATTAATTGGCTCATTAACTAAGGAAGCTTTTTGAGTTAAAAAAATAGTAAAACTGAAAAAATGGCTATTAAAGATTTTTTTTAAAACCGACTGCTGATTCACTACTAATGAATCATGACGTAATGTAGCTTTTAAACTGCTTAATGTGTATCAATTAAATTAGATCAGGTTTGTTCGAAAAACGTGAACCGTAACCGATCAGGATTATAAATGTTTCGTTACCAAACATTATGTTATTTTGACTACTGATTATTAGGTAATGAAGATTACCTTTGGAAATGACCATGTTTTCGACTGATGACCTCAATTGCGTTTAGATGGATCATTTGTGGCACTTTACCGGCATGTTTATTGTTAATGGACAGTTTGATTTTTTTTGAAGCTGGAAAATATTAGAATTTTGAAAACTGATCAGGTTTCTGACTTCTCAATTTCGATTTGCTATTCCAACTTGTCCTATCTTAATGTGAATAGAAGTGGAATAGCAACATCACACGTTTGGAGGTCAGCAGCATTTTTTCCGCCAAAAATACACTTTTTTGTTATTTCCTTACTATTCTGCCATGCATTCGCGTAAAATATTTCTTAGTCTACCTCAATATCTTGATAAAACGTTCGTGCTTGAATTAGTTAGTTTGCAAAAATCTACATTCCATGCTTTATTTATTTAGACTAATAATTTTTTTAAATAATTTTACGACTGACCTTAAATTTAAAAAAATTAACGCTTCCTACGTTGGGCGACAGGTGATTCCACTGGATTTGCGAAATGTTTGAAAGCCAAGGTTGCGCCATTAAAATTAATGATTAGTATTAGTGGATGAACATTCATAATCGGCAATTATCAGCTGAGACAAGGTCGGAAATCTTTTATTGATATGAAGACGTTTCTTGCCGAAGGACTTGGATTATTTCGGGTGTAATGGTTTTTTAAATCGGTTATTAAACGTCTATTTTTATGATCAATTTGGTGTTAGTAGTAAGTTCTTATGAGACACACTGTATTGTTTGAATTTGAATAAGTCATTGTAATAATGTAGATGATATGAGACCAAAAGGCTGTGAATGTGCGCATTGATGACTTAATTTTACTAAAATCTCAAAAAAAACAGAAATTATGCAGAAATGCGTAGTTTGTGCGGAAACTTTCTGTGTTTCTATTTGCGGGTTTGCTTATTAAACGGAGATCTCGAATTCTCTGTTGAGAGTAGGCCTGGGTAACACTGTGTTGAGTTACGCTTTTGAGTTGATGCCGCTACGTGTGTTGGTGAGTTATAAATCATTCGGCCTCACTGCGCCGCACCTCAAATTGCGCTCGTGGCGGAATAATTCTTGAAATCAAACTTTTAAAAAACATTTTTAATCAGTTGAAATTTCGTTGGTTGGAAATTGAGCAACAGTTTCATTTTTAAGTGATTTCTTCGCGTTTTTTTTGTTTAGTTAATATTTTTAGAAAAACAAAATTAATTCGGTTATTAATTTTAGTTTTGGTGTTGTTCATTAGTCACTGCAGCTGAGTAAAATTCAGACAAATATAAACGGCTCTAAATTAAAAATTACATTAGTAAAAGATCAGCGCTTCGAGCATTTTTCGTTTAGTTGTTGTTGACTTTCGTTAAGCAGGAACGTGAAATTTATCTGGAAACATTCCCGTGCGAACAGGCACTTTCTGCAAAAATGTCAACAATAATCAAAGTGAATTCGAACTGCCAAGTAAAGCATGAATCATCGAAAGGGCGAACAATTAAATGATTAATTAAACATGTTTATTCTGTAGTGCGCTGTCTTTTTTTGCTCAAAAAGGTCTATGAATGCTCAGTTTGCTACCAAATGTCAATGACAATGGACGAAATCGGTCGATAATAGCATTCGTACATGGGAAACATAGAATCATTGTGGCCCTTATGGCAAGTGCGGTGGTTTGCGATAATGTAGTGAACTTCTTGAGGAATAATAGGTAGAAAATGGAGGATGGGAGGCCAGCTTGCAAAAATCTGGTAAGAATGATCTCTAATCTATAAATCTTTAAGCTTGAACTGAGTTTAGCCGACCAGCAACTGAAGTTTTATGGATTCTTGATTTTTCTCCTTCTTTGCTTTGCTGATTTCAACCCTAGATCGTGTTTCAAAAAAAATTGTGAAAGTGACCAACACAACAGTTGTTTAATTTTAATCAATTTTTTTAAATCTGAGGTTAAAATAAAAATACAAAACACGAAAATGTCTAAACTTGACATAAAGTATTTTTTTTAATGAAACACCCTACATATTTTTAGACATACCAAGAGGATTTTTATTTAGGGAAAACGGCTTCATATTGTCCGTATGATGGCGCAATTGTGCTAAAACCCGGTAAAACTAAAACATACGTTGACAGTTTACGTTTTGATTTGAAAACTACCGATTATGACACACTTTCTAAATGTCTCATTTAAGTCTCTATCCAGTGGTGCAAAACAAATAAAAGTCGTTGATTACATTTTCCATCCTTTATTTAATTTTATTTTGGCACAAGAAAGAACAGTGAATCTATTCGCTAAAATTCAGTTTTCAGAATTCCATATACTTCTGCTAGTTTTTAACATTACTTGTAATAATAATTCTGGTAAATATTACAGATTATTTAGGCGAAAATCGCAGCGCTTAAATACTGTACCGTTCCGAATAAATCGCATAACGCTACTCTAGACTTCCAGCAGAGATCACCCAAAGAAATAAGTTCAAAAAACAAAGTTCTTTAAATTAGCTCTATGCGATCTATGGACGTTTATTAATAATAGTGAATTCGAAAATGAATTCGTATTTCAATCAGTCGCAGTATTTAAGCAATTTTGGCAAATCCCTTAATGATCACTAGCCCTAGATTTAGCGTTATAAGGAATACTTTAAGTGCCTACACATGCTCATGTCCGAACCTTTAACAACCTTTTGAGAACCTTTTAACGGATACACACTTTAATTTACACGGCATACCTAAATAATAATTTATCAGGAATCACAATTTACTATTTGTCTTGAATGTGAACAGGAATTTACAGATGAAACCCTTAATTTTCTTCCTCCGGATAGAGAAACGCAGCGGTGAAGATAAATAAATATTTGTATGGAAAAATAACTAAACATTTAACATCTAAGTAGGTACACAAAGAGCTAGCAGATATAGTAAGAATGTGATGACTACAAAATATAGTTGAAATAAATAAATGAGCTATGTGTACTTAAGTTTACTGGCATTAAGATATACTAAAACATATAAATATTAACAATGTACATTGCACTTAACAGATTTCAAATAACTCAGTCAGCAGGCGAAAGGTGTTACGTGTAAAGAAACCTTTGAAGACATTTTCCATTTATTTATTATGTATGTATATTGATCGCGCTACTGACATATTGTTGCGGGGATTCCGGAAAAAACAGCAAAATCCCATTGCCATTACTTAATTAAATAGCGAATAAAATCTAGCAACTGAATAACAACAAAAAAATTGAACGCAAAAACCTAGGCTAAATAATTTTTAAAAATTTACAAAAAGTATAACATTGTTATCATAAAAACAAATAAATAACTAGCCGACCTAATGTAACTCGCTATTTACATAACAATACAGCTACAACACCAATTTTATTATGTACAATATATTCAGAAAGTCCTTTGGCTTTTGTCCGATTTCGTCTGATTCTTTCGCTCAAAATACTGTTGAAGGGGAAATTTCTGAGCTAGCAACGCGTTCTAAAACCAGCTTGGGAAAGTCACTTCCCCTTGAGGCCAAGCTCATTCATCGTCGTGTCTGGGACTTGTCGAATCATAAGCGCTACGGTCCTGTGAAAAATTGAGGGCATCAGGTGAAGGACTATCGGTAGGGTAGAAAAAGCCGCGATCCGAGCTCGGCCCAGCTCCGTTCATCATCAAAGGAGGGCTCATTGAGGGCCGTCCTGATGCCGAGCTGGGAGGACAGGTCAGGTCTGAGGAGGATATGTTGAAATCCGTGCTATCTCTGCACCAAAGCTGCCTCATTTCCTGTCGGCGCTGTCGCATCAGCATCTTGTACTCTGAGATGCGCATCTTCTTGCCATCCACTATACAAGTGCGTTTCGGCCTTGGCCGATACCTGTTTACAAGAAAAATAATGCAATTTTCATATCATTTTTATCAAGGGAAAAATCTCACCGATAGTCCGGGTGTTTTTCCATATGCAGCTTGGACAGTCTAGACTGTTCCTCATAGTAGGGCTGTTTTTCGGAGTTCGACATCCCTTTCCAGCGGGCGCCGAGAATTTTGGAAATATTAGAGTTGTGCATGTCAGGGCAGGCTTTCAGGATTTTTCGTCTTTCGTCTTTCGCCCACACCATAAACGCATTCATCGGCCGCTTTATGTGCGGTTTGTTTTCATTGTCCCTTTTCGATGCTTGTTGGCGTATTATTTTCGCTTTGTCTGATGTTTCGTTGAAGTTCGGATCGGGAGCACCCCATACTGAAAAAATCAGTCTGATTGTCATTTTTCATTCTTTGGAGTCAATTTTTGTAATGAAAAATGTCTAATTTAATTTTTTTCCAACGTGTTTTAAGTTTTAAGCTTGAAAAAATAATAATGAGATTAATGCCAGTATCGTTCGATTTTCAGCCGTTTTCAATGTATCTACTCTAATAAACAGGAGGAGTCAATTTCTACTAGCAGCTACAGTGTAATAATTAAAAGGTCTTGCAGGTTTTTTATTCTGAAATTGGCAGAAGTATACACTCCTAGACAAAAAAACCAGACACGATAAATATTATTCAATTTAAATTTCACTTAGCTTTTATAATTTTGAATCCAGCACTAACTATAAATTTGAAGCAATTTTTTATTTCAATTCGAAGCATTTCTTCTTAAAATTTACATGTTTGAAAAACTATAAAAAATCCCAAACTTTAACATCCAGTATCTCAAAAACCAAGCATTTCCCGACTTATGTTTAATGACAAATTTAACTGAAAATAGGATGCCATACATCGGCAAGCATAAATTGACTCACTCTGTAGAACAACCGTAAGATTTATTAAATGCGAACCGATTTTGCGGTCGGTAAAGTTCTTTTCAAAATGATCCTGAAACTCCAAAACGAAATATAAATAACTCTCCAATTGCGGCTCAATGATCTCCCGTTAAAGCAGTTGTATTAACCCATTTCTTGTCGAAATGCAACGATATTTTTTCCTGCAACGCGACAGTTTAAAATCGCATAAAATAAAACGGCCCGTATTTCACATCATAATACAATTTGTCTCGCAGGAATTTCGGATTTTGCCATATTTACAAACTGGCACCGACATGAGCGTTTGATCTTAGCTTTTCTTACAATAATACGACATAATTCATGCGCGTTTATTAAATTCGACTATTTTGATCTTGAATTGTTGCCAAAGTACCATGAATGTCTTCGATTTGAAAGTGATAAAATACTCACATTGACATGCAGTAATAAAATCAGTCTCTTCTTTAATGCCCTCCGATTCTTTGGGTCGGCCGCCCAAATTGGGCGGCGTTGGCATCGCATACATGTGCAGCGGGAAATGATGCTGTTTGTCCATACTGGGCCTCACATCGTTTCCTTTGTTCCGATTGTCCACCCCAGGGGTGATGGGGAAAGTGGGCGGCAGCCCTGCGTAGGGCAAAAACGCCCGGTTAGTCATCATCAAATTGGGCGGCATTAGACGGGGCACAGTCGCCGCCACTGGCTGATCGTTAATGCTTTGGTGTTGGCTGCTCGGGGTGGGCTGAGGACTGGACTCGGTACTGCCAGAACTCAATGATTTCGGCTTGGAAAGATTGAGGGGAGCGTCTGGATCTGATGGGGCGGGCGGTGGCGGCGAATGATGATGTTGGGGAGTTCGTCTCTCATTCGAGCTGATGGCCGCCATTTGCTGCTGATGTTGCTGCTGCTGATGCTGCTGCTGTTGTTGCTGCTGCTGCTGCTGCTGCTGTTGTTGCTGCTGATGCTGATGGTGCTGCTGTTGCTGCTGCATCTGAGCCGCCAAATGGGCGGAAGTTGCAGCAGACAGCCAGTTGGGCACTTGATGGGGCGGCAGCATCTGCAGCAAACGCTTCAATCAGTCAACATTTTCTCCACCTTTCTCTTGTGGAAGCAATGACGAATGCGCTTCACTTATCACTTACGTGGTTCGACAGTGGGCTTTTCGGTACCACCGGTGGACCACTGGGAGGGTGCAACCCTCTGGACAGTTGCTCCAAGAAGGGCAGAAACATCAACCCTTGCACTCCTCCACCGGAGTATTGCGCTGAGATCTGGCCCTGAAGTTCTTGCAGCTTTTGCTGTTGCTGCAGCAGATGCTGCTCTTGTTGTCTTCTTTGAATTTCTAGCTGTTTGTGGGCGTCGTTCAGTAAGGGCGACGTACTGGCCGACTGGAAAAAAAATTGTTTGCTTAGTTGTCGTTTTGCGTCTAGACAATGTCTTGAAAGCTGCTGGAAATTAAAAGTTTTTGGAACGTTGCATAGTTGCAATTGTGTATGCATTTTGCCTTTTTGGAATTGGTTATTTGGCCGTGAAAAAGCGGCCACACTGTAGATTTTAGTTCAAAAAAAGAGTCTTATTGGTAATATTTTTTTGCGCTATCCGGTAGCGTGAGAATGACGTCGATAAAAAGGTGGCGTCATGTTTGAAACCATTTTGTACATTTGTACTCATATGAAGTTTAAAACTTGTTAATTTTTCTAAAACCTACACGACCTTGCGAAATATTGAATCGATGAAAAACGCTAATGATTGTAGTCCGGCCCTGGTTAGCAGGAAAATGTCTTAGTTAGTAAACTAGAAACTGTTTGTAGCAAAGGTTAAAAGACGATTTTGAGATCGCAAAAAGTCAGAAAAAGTAGAGTTGCTGTCGAGATGATCGACCTCCTGCTGCAGATTTAACACTGGCCATTCTTGTTCTTCGCGGGGCGAGTAATTAGCCGAGCACAGGAAACGATATATCATGTAGTAATAATGACCGAGACCAGAATGTCTCTTATTCAGATTGCTCGCTTTGCACAGAAGTTGGAAATCTTGCCAAATTATACCGTCTTTCTATAAATGATATCCGGTTTGGTTTTAGCCTCTTCTAGCGTGTTGTTTGCCAACATTTATTATCCTGCCTTCAATGTTTTGATCAGGAAGTTGGATATTATTCACTAGAAACATTCCGTAACGGAATTATATAATTTTTTCTCTCAATTTCCATAACTTTGCATGAAATTCTTCTTGTTCAGGATTGGTTCGAATTGTGTAATATTAAGAAATGGTTTTAACTACTATTTTAATATTTACGTGACTCAATAATAGCCGAAAGAACAGTAAAACTAATAAGAAGAAAAATATATTTTTGTGTTATAAATGGACCAAAATCCCAAATTTTGTAATAAATCTATCTAAGATTAGAGAATGAGTGAAAACAGCCTGGGAACGTTTTAGGATTTTACATACTGTGTCTTTTATAGTTTAGTGTTAATTTGTCATGGAAACGCTTTCTGAATAAATTAGTCCAAAGTTATCTTCTAGAAACTAAGGATTCCGAGCTCGAGTTTGAAATGTTAAGCCTTTAATTTTGATTTGAAGATCCAAGTCAAAATTTCGAAACTAAAACTGGACTTAATTTGCCAATTCTCGATAGTAATCGGAATATTGAAAAACAATTTAAAAATGTATTTTTCTCTAACCCATTAGATTTTTTTCTTTCGATTTTGATTAGTCATTGAATGCGCTCCTGACGGTTCGAACACATTGTTAATTGCAATAAGGAAAATCACCTTAACACGCGCAATTATGAAAAAACGGCACCTCGAAATTAATTCACATTATTTATTTGAACAAAGTAATTATTGTCATTAACTGGTCGGCAATAACAACGCAAAGTTCAACGCGAAAAACAATAATCATTATTTAATATGCATTAATATAATAGAATATTTATTATATATAATTAAGCTCAATTTATCGACTACGTGTGCATCGTTAGAAAGTTGCGTTTCAAATTATTTCTAATTATTTTTTGAATAGTTTTACTCTCTTTTGCTCAACATCACAAGTACGTTTCATAACCGTAGTAAGTGTTTAATGGGTTAAAGTAAAGGCCTGTAACGTTAAAATCAATGGTCCAATTAAATACATGTGTGTACAGCAATTCGTGAGACTTTAATGTGCACTTTTGAGATATTTCAATGTATGAACATTTACCTACATTTGCTGATACTTGATGAATAAATGTGTTGAAGAATTCAATGTTTGGAAGAAATTCAGTGTTACTCTAAGTTCAAAGTTACTTAGCTTTTGTCTGATTAGAACGGGAGTACTTTTTCTTCTAGATGTCCTTTGAATTTCGTTGTTCTCAGAATTTATGCAGTTTGATTGCAATAATCATCTAAACCTCCTTGATTGTGGTTTGCTTACCCAAAGATTTTGAAAACCTTTGGGTAATCTTTCGTGCTGGAAGACAGTTGAGGATGCAAGTAAAAGCTAGAGATCCCAATCGGCTAAACAATCTGATTAATTAAGCGAAAGATGAAGACTTTAGAAGGTGGACCGAATTTGATATTGTCCTCAGCCTACATAGGGATGTTGAAATATCGAAATTCATTAAACTGTTTCTGTCACAACATCCGGCGGATGAGGCAAAGTTCTCCGTTCAAATGTTACCCAATTTTTTCAGTAGCATAAATTTGGTTCTATTTTCAATTTCGAAACAATTAGCGGCGGTCAATACTGGTGGCAAATGCCATCTGTAGCACCGTAAAACGGTTTAAGGTGCCATAAAAATAATGGTTACGCGTTGACAGACGTAAATTTAGGCATGCTTTTGTGCATTTCGGAAATGCAATCCATGGCTCATTTGTGTATTTAAGTGTGGGGCTTGGCTAAATGTGGATTTTAGTGTGCTTTTAAATGCCAGCCGATTATTTGCCATGACACTCCGAAGCTGCTTTATGATTTAATACCACTCGAGTTTTCCAAATAAAACTGTTTTGATCCAAATGTCTCTTTATAGCATTTTAAACATTCAGCTAAACACCATTAAAGTCTTGTCGGGGGTTTTTTTGATAAATTTCTAACTTCTCTTATAGACCAACTCTGTATATTAATTAATTAACTAGCTAAGAAACTCTCATCATCATCCTCTCTTGATCCGAATCAAATCTTCTAGTTGCTCTTAAAATTAATCTGAATTTAACTGATAATTTTCCATGAAACTGACAATCATTCTGCCGCTTATTATCTCTGGCCAGATGCGCAAGGGACGAGATTAAATATAGTCTGGCTAAAGAAGCTGGAAGTGCATTGAAGGTGCAGTGAATGGAAGATAAAATTGGACCAGTGCCGACATATATTTAGGAGCCGTGGGCGCGTTGGCAACCTGCAAATATTTTTGGAAAATCCAAAAGGACGAAGAAGTATTTAACAGATGAACAATTCTTTAAGCGACTTTGCTTGACGAACAACACCGTCCTGCAACTTAACCGCTCCTATTTATAAAATTGTTAAAATGGTTAGTTTTGTTTCAGTAACTGGAAGCATTTCAAAGTAGAAAACAGTAACAGTTGACTAAGGCGTTAGATGAAGATCTTTCTGGATTTGAAAGCCGATTCTTCCAAGCCCTTGCAAATTGATCTTCAATTTTACTTTGCTGTTGACTTTTTCTCAAGCCCGCTTTGATCTATCGCCACTCCATGGAATGCTGGCTTTATTCTTCATGCACTTTTTTCAAATCATTAAAACACTGTACTGTTGCACCTCACTTAACACTGGCAGTCTGGACCGATTTTATGTGATTCACTTGTATATACAAGAGTATTCGGTTTTGTTTTCGAAAATTCGGATATTTACCGTTCAAAACACTTCCAGCTCTTTGTAGTTTGTTTATTGGTTGTGTTGGAGGCGAAATAGACGGCAGCGTTTGCCTTATTTAGTGAATAAGAAAGTCGTTTTTCCACACAATTGGTGCTTGGATCTTTTGCAGTTCTCCTAATTGATAGAAGATTTTTTTGTGATTTTTGACTCTGTTTACGCCTTTGTCGATCTTAATTTTATTTTGTTAATTGTGTCAATTGCGAAAAAGCCAAGCGCCTGTAGGAATAAGAACTTTCTTTAATCGATTGAGTCAATTGCAAAACATTGAAGCGCCCATTTTTACTGGTTTGGAACAAACTACTTTCTTTCGTCAATCGAATTATTGTTTTTGGCGTGGAAAAACTGACCATTTTCGGTAAATTAAGTCAAGCGAGAATTCTTACTAGTTTAGAAAACACGATTTCTTTGTCAATTGCAAAGGATCCAACCGCGAGTTGAAACTAGTGCAGAGAAAACAAACTTTTTCTTTTGAGTCGATTGCAGAAGATCTAAGCGCGAATTGTTATTAATGCGAAACACCCACTTTCTTTTCACCATGAGTCAATTGCAAAATATTCAGGCGTAAGTCGCTACCAGTTTGGAAAAAAGGCTTTCGTTTGTCGAATGATTCAACTGTAAAAGAACCAACCGCGAATTGTTACTCTTGTCCAAAAAACTACTTTCTTCAAATCGTAACTAGTGTGAAAAAACGGTATTTTTCTAGTCAATTGAGTAAATTGCAGAAGATCCCAATGTGAATTGTTTCTATTGAGGAAAAAGCGACTTTCTTTCATCAATGGAGTCTCATTGTAAAATATTCAGGAGCGAATTGTTACCAGCGTAAAAAAAACATTTTTTGTCAATTGAGTAAAAGAACCAACCGCGAATTCTTACTAGTGTAAAAAAACTACTTTATTTTGTCAACGAGAATTAGTTGCAAAAGATCTAAGCTCTAATTTTTATTAGTGTGTCAATAGCGACTTAAATTATCAGTTGAATCACTTTCACAGCAAAAAAAAGAGTTAAGCGTAAATTATTACTGGTTGGGAGTTGTTTAGTGCATTAAGGAAAAGGAAATAATGAAAAAGGCCATTTGTTGGCAAGTGGCAAGGTTGTTGATGCATCTAATTATCCATTTTGCGAGCTTTAAGGCGCTTAAAGTAAAATTGCAATACCGTTGGTCCGGCAACGCTTTAGCTGGATGAATATCACCTGTCAAGGCAGAGTTATACTGCATAAACGATTTACAATTGTGCCGCTCTCGTAAATCAGTCAAAAAATTCCCCATGTAATGGCCGGCAATTTAAGGAAATTAACCTATAAAACTCCTGCTTCTTTTACATTGCTTATAGTTTATTATCTTGCGTTCTGAACTGCTGATCGCAAAAATCCATTGTAGTAGACACAGAATAAAGGCAATTTCAGATGCAGAAAACTAATAACCCGCTAAATACTCAAATTAGTCCGCTGATTTGCCGGAAGGCAAATCGCCCCCGCAATCAAAATATTTCCGAGCCCTTAACAAAACAAAAACTAAACTGAC